AATTCCAATCAAGATAGGTCACTGCACCTTTAGAGGAACGAGGGGTTCAGTGTCGTCAACTTGCGACCAAGTTACTGTTTCCTCAAGGGATGGTATTACTAGGGTCTCGGTGTTTGGCCTGCTGTTGGAAGCCTAGACACTCAGCAGAGGCAGTAACTAGATCAGCCCTGGTGAGTGGGGTGTGCATATGGTTGGGTCCACGTGTGGTCTTCACCCCAGCCCATGGCCACTCCACTAAAGAGCCCCAGGTGCTTGTCCTGGGACAGCAGGTGACAGGCTAGTGAATGTCAGCTGGCCAAGTCATTCTGTTTATTCCTTCAACACTCTTACCTCAGGGAGCTGCTCTGTGTCTGCCTTTACTGTGTTTATTCTTTACTCCTTGGTAGCTAATCCCCTTACTAGCTAACATGCAGTACCTTTCCCTGTTCAAATTTCCTGTGGTTTTGTTCATGACCTGACTGGCACATGTCTTACAGGCTTCCTCAACAGGCCCACTACTTCTTGGCGAGGCTGTTGACTTAATGGCCAGGACGGAAGGAGGCAGAAGTTCCTCCTTCTGGAGAAGCATCCTGCATGGTCTTCAACAATGACGGGAGGACGGGACACTAGCCTTTAACAGAGAAGTAGCCGCTTCTGCAGGTCCCAGAGGCATCTGGGATTCAGGACTTGAATGTGCCAATCAGGTAATCCCATGCCAGATCTCAGGGTCTGGTCCCCTTCTGATCAAGGCCCTGATCTTGAGGTAGCACACCTGCCTGGGCTGAGAAGCCAACCTTCTCTAGAGCTCTACCAGTCTCAGGACTAAGCACTGGTCTGTGGCTGCAAGTGGCCTCTTTTTGGCTACCAGGGAAGCCCTCTGGTTACCACATTTAGCCTTTAAATGCTAATTAATCACCCTCACCCCATGTCTTTTTCCAAAGGATTTATTATTCCTAGCCACAGCTGCCAATTCCATTGTTTGCCACTGCCCTGTACTTTTCAAATACCCAGTAAATCCCAGCAGCCAGGGCAGCGACTTCCACTGGTATGCCACACCACCCACCCCCAGTCCAAACTGGAACTCACTGCTACCAGTCCTATTCTGCCTACCACCTGTGATCGCCATCAGTGCATCTAAGGATGACCAAACTCCAAAATGCCACGTGTGCCCTCTCAAACCGCTCCTGGCACCAACTGCAGATCTGGTTCCTGGGAACCAGACTGAGCTTCGCCCACAGGAAACTTATGGGGGGACCCAAGGACTGAGTGAAGGGGAGGCTCCATTGTGGTACCGTCCCAAGGAAGGCCTCAGCCAATCCCACTGGAAGCAGGGAGGGGTCTGGATGGCACAGCACAGGCACACATGCGAGCTAGAATTACAATCACAGAAAGAAATGGACAAAAACATAAAAGGGACATACTAAGCTTGTTACTAGCTTGGTTAGCAACAAGGGGAGAGGGTTCAACAAAGCAAAAGGCTGAACCAAGAAAACAATGTGCAGATGAACCCTTTCACCACGTGCCTGTGGGTATAAGCATGTAAGAAAAGATTTTTTAAATGTGGGATTATGGGGGCGCCTGGGTGGCTCAGTCAGTTAAGCGGCTGCCTTCGGCTCGGGTCATGATCCTGGGGTCCTGGGATCGAGCCCCGCATCGGGCTCCCTGCTCGGCGGGAAGCCTGCTTCTCCCTCTCCCGCTCCCCCGGCTTGTGTTCCCTCTCTCGCTGTGTCTCTGTCAAATAAATAAATAAAATCTTTGGGCCCCTGGGTGGCTCAGTCGTTGAGCGTCTGCCTTCGGCTCAGGTCATGATCCCGGGGTCCTGGGATCGAGTCCCACATCGGGCTCCCTGCTCGGCGGGAAGCCTGCTTCTCCCTCTCCCACTCCCCCTGCTTGTGTTCTCTCTCTCGCTGTGTCTCTGTCAAATAAATAAAATCTTTAAAAAAATAAAATAAAATAAATGTGGGATTATGAACTCTCTGTTTTTGGCTTTGTTTAAAAGAATTTTCTAAGTATTACCAAAAAAAGACCTCCCAAAAATATTGAGGAAAATATTTACAACATATATAATAGAAAAGTCCTTCACAGGGCGCCTAGGTGGCTCAGTTACTAAGTGTCTGGCTCACGTCATGATCTTGAGTCCTGGGATCCAGAGGGGAGCCTGCTTCTCCCTCTCCCTCTCTGCTGCTCCCCCTGCTTGTGTTCTCTGTCAAATAAATAAAATCTTTAAAAAAAAAAAGTCCCACGGGGCGCCTGGGTGGCTCAGATGGTTGGGCGTCTGCCTTCGGCTCACCTAGGCGCCCCTAAAAAAAAGTATTTTGAGCAGGACCTTGTAAAATGCTTTCACCACTCAGCTGAGTGAAAGAGAAAGAAAAGGGTAAGTAGAGGATGATACCGGAAAATGTCATGTGTTTGGAAGTTGCAGTCAAACCTGAATGGGGTGTAAAGTAAGAGAGGAACGGTGGTGGGGCAGAAGATTGAACAGGGCAGGCAGGGGTCCCTCAGAGTGCATGGGATGTTTCCACAGGTGAATTCTGCAGAGGGCAAGGATAAGAGCTGAGGTAGTTCTACCAAAGGAATGAGGGCAAGACAAAGGGGCAATAATGAAGGTGAACAACAATCAGGAAGCCACTGCAAAAATCCACGTGAGGAGAAATGCAGGCTTATATGAGGACAGTGGGGGTTGAAATCCAACAGCTGGCAGGGCTTGCCAAGTGACTGGATATAAGGATTTTATGTTTATTTAATAGAAATAAAAATAATACAACATGTTTATCCATTATACTCTTGACTAGAATGAACAGAATCAAGATAGATCTGTTTGGTCTTTTAGTTTTGTTATCTGTCCTTGAAATCACAAAGATTTCTACTGGATGGTGGGATAAAGACACACTTCACATTAATGAACTGGATTTTCACAAATATTTACCTTTGGGGTCTCAAACTGTATTACTTTATAATGTCTGTAAATATATATGTGTATATATATATTTCTCTTAACTGGAAAACCACATTCACATCTAAATTGTTAAAATGAAAAATAATCTGGACAAATGTGTACTAGAAAGTTATTTGATTCCTATAGCTACTCAGACAAAACAGGTATCTTCTAATAACACGTGCTGACTCCTATGCATAACCCTATACACAGCCATAAGTCTGCACCCTGCAAACTCCTTCTCCATCAGTATTTACCCAAGGCTTTCTTTTTTTTTTTTTTTTTTAAGATTTTATTTATTTATTTGAGAGAGAGAGAACGAGAGACAGAGAGCAGGAGAGGGAGGAGGGTCAGAGGGAGGAGAAGCAGACTCCCCGCCGAGCAGGGAGCCCGATGCGGGACTCGATCCTGGGACTCCAGGATCATGACCTGAGCCGAAGGCAGACGCTTAACCATCTGAGCCACCCAGGCGCCCCTACCCAAGGCTTTCAACAGCATTACTGAACCATCAAATGACAACGAAAATTTAAGTCAGATGAACCCACTTTTCAATCTAGTTTAAAGGTGTATGGGTTAAGGTACAAAGCTAAGCTACAGTCACAAAAGACCCAACAAGACAACAGCTTGAAGAACAAAGTTTATTTCTCTTTCATGTTCTCAAGTGGCGGGACATGCTTCATGCAGCCTCTCCAGGACTGGGGTGCTTCCAACACGTCGTACAATCCTCTAGGACACTGTTTTCATTTGCAGAGTTCGAAAGGAGGGTTCCTACTGGAGGGAAGGAAAGAGGCCTGCCCTGGAAATGGCACACGCCACTTGAGTGCACATCCCACTGACAGGAACCCGGGTCACACCCAACTGAAGGAGAGTGCGCCATGTAGTCCGAAGGGAAGGATACACTTTGGTGCAGCGTAAGTTTATAATCTCTGCTCCAAGAGGCCTCTGGAGCAACACAAAATGCCTGTGGTCAGGAAGGAGAGGAGACTACCACAAGTCAGGACGATGCCCACCTTGAGCAGGGAGAGAGTTTTAACTGAGAAGGAAACTTCGAGGTTCTGAATGCAATGACACGGATGTCCTCTTTATCTTCATTCGTTAAACTGTAGTTTAAGTTTTTGCATAATTTTGTGTTTTCGCAGCAGAGGGTTTTTAAACAATTAATCTTGCAGCAAGACGACATACAAAGTCCATCCCTTACTGGGTGTGCATCTTGACATCCCTCAGCCCAGCACATAAGACACCTAGACCCCGAAGTGACATGTAACACTAATGTTGTTTGGTTTTACTTGTTTGTAATATCAAATATTTGTAGTTATTCCATTGATTTAGGAATTCAATTTTTGTATTTAGTACAAAATGGGCTTTAGAAATGAAATGTGGATTTACAGTATTTCCCTTATAAGAGATAGGGTCTGACACAGTAACAGCTCAGCATATAACTAGAGTCCAGGAAGCAACCAGATCTTAGGTCCAGCATCGTGCATCAATAATCCACCAGACACCCAACTTAATCAAATCTGTATGAAATAAGAACTAAAACTGGTGGGACTCTGCAGCAGACAGACTCCAGGGTGATCCCAGGACTCCTGCCTCCTAGTACTCACACCCTTGAGTGCAGGTGGAATTTACTGGCTCACTCCTCACCCAGAGTTCAGCAACAGTGACAGGATGTTCGCAATCACGTTGCAGAAGACTATGATGTCAGTCTTGCCAGAGGAAAAGCTGCCATCATGTAAAGCTGCGCCTCAGGAGAACCACGTGGAAAGGAACAGAGGGTGTGTTACAGCCAAGAGCCTGGGAGGCTCTGGGCCCAAGAGCCTACAAGGAATGAATCTGCCAACAACCCTGTGAACTGGAAGCAAATACCTCCCCATTCGGGCTTCAGATGAGACCCGAGCCCTGGCTCACACGTCCGCATTGTAGCCCAGCAAAAGATGAAGCCAAGTTGTGCCCAGACTCCTGACCCATAGAAACTGGGACATAACAAATGTGCCTTTTTTAAGTCACTAAGTTTGCAGTAACAGTGCTCTGCAGCAACAGACAATACAGAATCTTTGTGAAAATTCCACTATTTTTCCAAATCCAGTAACACTTGACAGAAAAATATTATCTTTTCCCATTACCTCTCAATAAATTTATGAAAACTAGATTTTGGGGGCGCCTGGGTGGCTCAGTCGTTAAGCGTCTGCCTTCGGCTCAGGTCATGATCCCAGGGTCCTGGGATCGAGCCCCACATCCGGCTCCCTGCTCCGCGGGAAGCCTGCTTCTCCCTCTCCCACTCCCCCTGCTTGTGTTCCCTTTCTCGCTGTGTCTCTGTCAGATAAATAAATAAAATCTTAAAAAAAAAAAAACAAAACTAGAATTTTACAGAGTATTTGAAGAGCATGACAAAAGAGTTCACACGATGGGCTGATGGCCATAAATCTTTCTCAAGACTCACATTGAAGCTACCAGAGGCATTTCACTATTCCTATCAGTATTTTTTTATTCCTATCAAGTTTTTAAAGGGAAGTACATTTCCACTTCTGTCAAGTGCACACTGCTATTTCAGAAAGTATCCAGAATGAAGGAGAAAGCTCTTTGACGTTTAAATATTTATTTTCTTTACTATCCACCCCTCATTCCCCAAAACATTATCAACTTCTAGGTCTGTGGTCCATACACAAAACTTCCTAGCAGTTCATTTATCAGCAACTTTCTGTAATGAGGCTCATGAGCAACAGATGCCTAAATATGAGCAGATCGAAACGTGTGGTGCTACCGTATCTTCATCAAGAACTGCACTTACATAGCTTTTGCACTATTTGTCAATGCTCTCAATTACTTCGTCACAATGACCTCTCACGTATAACTTACTCTATAGAAAAGAACGACAGTTAGCCCAGACTTAAATATTAAGACACAAACAACAACAACTGCTGTGCTAGTGAAACAAAGAACCGGTGTTCCGAATGTCTCAGTCACACTTGTGTGCCCACGCCACCGCTGCTGCGTGACATCACGTCACACACACACACACCTGAGAGCTCATAGCTCTCGGCAGCTAAGACACACAGTGTCAAACACCCTTCTCCCATCCCCCACACACAGCAAACAGGTACTACGTCCCTGTGTGTCCAAAGACCCAAGGGCTCAGGCCGAAGCGAGGGGCACGGTGAGAGCGCCCAGCTCTCTGAGGTTACTTAAACAGTTGAGGCAGATTCTCAGGGACTCTCTGACAGAATGCCTGGAACGAGGAAGTGTTACATTTTAAAGCAGTAAGGGCCGAGGGAATGTGCAATCTAGTGAGCAGAAGCTCAGTCACCACTGAACGAGAATAAAGCAAGGGGAGCCGGACTCCATTTGTCTGCAGCACGAACCTCCCTACGCAACAGAAGGTTCCTGAGAATAATTCCGTTTCATTGTCAAACCTTAAGAAATAATTAACGTTCAAGGTAACAAAAGATAGATGTTTATGAAAATTACTCACTCTTTTCACTCCCTCTCCAATTCTCAGACTTCACTGGATCACGTGACTGCACAGCTGACATAATCTCCTATAATTACAGAGATCAAAGCCCACAAATGCCTCGTAATTTGCCATTTCCACAAATCCTAAACATAAGATAAACATAACATCCACATATTAATCTTCAGACTTCAAAATAAGAAACACGTGATTTGAAAATGTTACAGCCAGAGGCATTCATACAAACTACTCTATTAATGACCACAGAAAATAGGTAGCAGTTGCCTCCCTAATTACCGATTCAATAGTGAGAAGCGAGCAGGATGCTTAGAGGCTCAACTGGAATATCCTGGTAAACAGGGAACAAAGAACACGTTTCTAGCTAACCAATTTTGAAGTGAGCAATCTATTCAAATACTTTCTGAGGTCTGAAACCAATGGCTGTTAAAATCTTCAAATATACAAACCTAATTACAGAAAATTATTTTTAATGGACTTGGGTAATTATGATAGACACAAAACCTGACATCCTTTCATGCATACTGCTCAGCTCTCCTGGCCCCTGGGCTGAGTGGGTAAAGGTCTGGAAGTGACAGTACAAATCATCAAGTAGCTGGTCATACATCTATCATATTTGGTACAAATCTAAATAGAATTTGCTTTCCATAAGCCAGGAAACCGGTGACATATTTTTCCACACTACTGGATAAAAGAAAAATCTGAAATAAATTTTCTATTCCACTGGATAATGGGAAAAAAAAATTTAAAAAGGAACAAAAGTCACCCATGAGGAGCTAATACCAAAATCTTAGGACAAAATTTGTTACAAATTTTTCGTGCACATTTAGATCTACTTAATAAATATAAATTTTTAAATAAGGTACAAATACTATAATTGGTAAGATATTTTCGTTCAACAGATTATAAAAATTATCAAGACCAGGGGCGCCTGGGTGGCTCAGTCGGTTAAGCGACTGCCTTCAGCTCAGGTCGTGATCCTGGAGTCCCAGGATCGAGTCCTGCATCGGGCTCCCTGCTCGGCGGGGGGTCTGCTTCTCCCTCTGACCCCCCCCCATGCTCTCTCTCTCTCAGTCTCTCTCAAATAAATAAATAAAATCTTTTAAAAAAAAAATTATCAAGACTTATCTATCACCTAAGCATACCCACGTTCTGATGATTATAGCTAAAGAATTCCACAAGGACCACCTAAAATGCATGGCTTTTAGACTGGCATTCCATATTAAAAAGGCAAGATATTCTGGAACAGGAATATTCTTTTTTTTTTTTTTTAGGAATATTCTTGAAGGTAATCGCTCTATCTTCTTCCTCTATAAAGGTTACATAATATATACCACAGGCCACACATAAATCAAGCACTCAAGAAGCATTTGATGTCACAACTGATAAATAAGCTACTTCAAATGATTTCATACCGTTCAAAATAATTTCTAATTGTCCAAAGAATACATCTGTATCCCAACTAATACAATCTAACACTTAAGTATTTTCACTCCAGAGAAACTGATTAAAATAGCATTATACATCCTCTGAGAAACCACTTGTACGGTATTTTCAAAATGTGTACGTAGGGGCACCTGGGTGGCTCAGTCGTTGAGCGTCTGCCTTCGGCTTGGGTCATGATCCCAGAGTCCTGGGATCGAGCCCCGCATTGGGCTCCCTGCTCCGCGGGAAGCCTGCTTCTCCCTCTTCTACTCCCCCTGCTTGTGTTCCCTCTCTTGCTGTGTCTCTGTCAAATAAATAAAATCTTAAAAAAAAAAAAATGTGTAAGTAGCCGGCGTTGGTGGTAGAGTGGTGAGCACAGCTGCCTTCCAAAATGTGTAAGTCACAGTGAAGTCCAAATACCGCTAAGATCTGTCCTGCAGAAATTTTGAGCCCCCAGGACCCAGCTGCTAAAATGAACAACGGTCAAAGGACACCTGACATTTTTTGGGACGCAAACAGGAGGAGAGTCTCAAAGTCTATAGCAGGGAATTAAGGGAATTACACAGTTTGAGTGGCTGAGTTTTACTTTATACCCAAACATGAGGGGACTTGGCTATTCCGTATACTAGGGTCCACAGGTTTAACAATGCTGATTCAAAGTTCTACAAAAGTTTAAAATATTTAACAGCAGAAAATTTCTATTTCTAAAAAAAAACAGTAAAGGAGAGCTAGAACTAATTCTATTAAGAAATATTTGCATTATATAATGCTTTTTCCCTGTAAGTAAAAGATTACCTGAACTAAGTGCCACCAAGCAAATGGTTAATTCATAAAAAGCACTGGTAGTACTTTGAACATACTATATAAAGAAAAAACAAACCAATGTAATACTTGAATTAATTAAATGAAATGTTCCATAGGCCTCAAATTTAAAATTTTAGTAGGGTTTATTAGCTATATTTTCCTAATATATAAAATATTAAAACAGCATATGTAGTACTCAGTTTTTAGTAATTTTCAATCTTCAAGACCAACAGCCTTAATCTTTGATTGGTTTTCTAAATTCTCCACAATATCTTTCAGATAATCTTCATCTTTTAAAAAATATACATATAATTCTCTTTCCATTTGATGCAGTTTATTAGATGCCAAAATTTTTCTTTTTGTCTTCACATCAGCAAGAATATCAGTAAGAAGATGATTTAGCTTATTCAGTTGGGATTCAACTTGATGAAACTGCTCTGTTAACTCCTAAAAGAAAAAGAAAAATGCTTTTACTATAAAAGCTCTATTTGTAATAGTAATTATAAATTTAAGATGTAATTTACACGCAAAGAATCCAAACGATAGGGGTGCCTGGGTGGCTCAGTCGGTTAAGCATCTGCCTTCGGCTCAGGTCATGAGCCGAAGGTGGGGGGGAGAGGCGGGGGGGTCCTGGGATGAAGCCCTGAGTCAGGTTCCCTGCTCAGCAGGGAGTCTGCTTCTCCCTCTCCCTCTACCCCTCCTCCCTGCTTGTGCTCCCTCCCTCTCTCAAATAAATAAAATCTTAAAAAAAAAATCCAAATGATGTAATTATTCCCACGATTTTAATGATAAATGAACCTCAATTAAAAATCCACAGTAGGTTTAATATAAATTCTATGTAAAGTCAATTGCAACAGCTTTCAATAGATAATTTTAAGGGATTCAAAGCAAACTGTTACTTCCTAAAGAGTACCTGATATATAAACTATAATGTATATTCATACATTCAACAAATATTACTAAATGTCTACCATATGCCAAGCACTGTTTTAGAGACTACAGATACAAGAACACCATCTCCTTTATGGAGCTTATATTCCACTTAATTGATCAAACCTTGTTTTAGCCTAATCTCGGTCTGAGTGGTACTGAGAAAGCCTTGAAATGAAGCAATTACCAATAAAAAAGAATCACCTCAACAGAAATCTCCATTTTTCTTTTTTCACAGTGTTACAGAAAATAGAATTACATATGACATTCAACAATCCCAACTTACCATGTAATCCTCCTGCTCAAGAACCTAGACACGCCACTGCTTCTCCCTCTCCATCTGCCCCGGCTTGTGCTTGCTCTCCCTCTTTCTCTCAAATAAATAAAATCAAAAAAAAAAGGGGGGGGGGAAATGCCTGGGTGGCTCAGATGGTTAGGCGTCTACCTTCAGCTCAGGTCATGATCTCTGGGTCCTGGGATCTAGCCCCTCGTCAGGCTCCCTGCTCAGCAGGGAATCTGCTTCTCCCTCTCCCCCATGTTCATGCTCTCTCTGTCTCAAATGAATAAAATCTTTAAAAAAAGAAAAAGAACCTAGATATGCCAGCCCTTCACATGTAACAAAATGAAATGCCTCACTTCCTAACATTAAAAGCTGTTTATTAACAAGTTTCCATGGGTTTTTAATCAAGTATTCTACTTCTGTAAATTTCCAGCCACTATCACCAAAGAGAAAATCTATAGCTTTATCTCAACCTTCTGCACCTTCTCAGCATGGTCCATGAGCATGATAATCACCTGGGGTACTTGTTATGAACACATACTCCTGTACCCTACTGCACACTAAATTACTCAAACTCCAACAGGCTCGCTGGTGATTCTAATAAGTTCAAGAATGACTGCTTTACACCTGTCATAAATGCCAGTTCCAGAGAGCAGTACTTCTTCAATTACACTTTGACAAAATCAAGTAATACATTAATTGGTTTTCTCTTGAGGAAAACTTGGTAAACTTGAATGAGAAACTATAATCTCACCTTCAATTTCAGTACTAAAGATCTTAATAGTTGCTAAAATAATATTCCCACAGATACTGAAAAATATCCTTCTGTTACTAGCAACAAAAATGAAAACTAAAGTTTATACATATGGCACTTTTATATTTCACTGGGTTAGGAAAAAACATTAAATAATTACACCCAGTAAGATTATAGTGAAATCACCATACTTTAGTGATTCTAGGATGCAATCCTTCACATTTTAAAGTATCTGAAACCCATACCATTTTATAATTGAGAGCATCATGTAATTATTATTAGCCACTCATAAGAAATGCTTTATCACCAACATTAAAAAAATTTTTTTACTGTGATAAGAACACTTAACATGAGATCTCCCCCTTAACAGATTTTTTTTTTTAAAGATTTTATTTATTTGACAGAGACACAGCGAGAGAGGGAACACAAGCAGGGGGAGGGGGAGAGGGAGAAGCAGGTTTCCTGCTGAGCAGGGAACCCGATGCGGGGCTCGATCCCAGGACTCTGGGATCACGACCTGAGCCGAAGGCAGATGCTTAACGACTGAGCCACCCAGGCGCCCCCCACCAACAGATTTTTAAGAGTACAGCAGAGTACTGTTAACTACAGGTACAACGTTGTACAGCCTATCTCTAAAATGTATGTGCCTTACATGACAAACTTTGTACCTGTTGATTAACCCAATTCCCCCCCTCTCCAATCCCTGCTAACCACCATTCTATCCTCTGTCTCTGAGTTTGACTATTTTAGATAATCTCTGTAAGTGGAATCATACATTATTTGTCCTTGTGACTGGTTTATTGCACTCAGCATAATTTCCTCAAGGTTCATCCATGTTGTCGCATATTACAGGATTTCTTTTTATTAAGGCTAAATAATACTTTGTGTGTATACATCACATCTTCTTTATCCATTCTTCCACTGGCAGACATTGTTTCCATAATTTGGCTATTAGGAATAGTTCCAATGGATGTAGGAGTGTTAATAATTCTTCAAGATCCTGATTTAAATTCTTTTGTTTAAATACCCAGAAGTGGAATTACTGGATCATATGGATCATTAATTTTTTTGAGAAAACTCCATACTGTTTTCCACAGCGGCTGCACCATTTTGGACTTCCACCAGCAGGGTACAAGGGTTCCAATCTCTCCACATTCTCACCAACACTTTTTTTGCTTTTTAAGATTTATTTGAGAGAGACAAAGTGCATGCACATGCATAAGCATGTGAGTTGGGGGAGGGCAGGAGAGAATCCTCAAGCAGATTCTCTGCTAAGTGCAGAGCCTGATGCAGACCCAGGGTTTGATCCCAGGACCCATGAGATCATGACCTGAACCGAAACCAAGAGTCAGACACTTAACAGACTGAACTACCCAGGTGCCCCTGATTTTGCTTTTTTGCTACTAGCCACTCTAACAGGTGTAAGGAGATATCTCATTGTGGTTTTGATGTGCATCTCCCTGATGATGAGTGACACTGAGCAACTATCCATATACCTGTTGGCCATTTGTATGTCTTCTTTGGAGAAAAGTCTATTCAAGTCTTTAGCCCATTTTTTAATTGGGCTATTAGTTTTTTTTTGCTATCACCAACATTCTCCATAGTGTAGAAAAATAAAGACAACAATTTTGAGTCAAAAAATAACACAGAAGGGGCGCCTGGGTGGCTCAGTGGTTGGGCGTCTGCCCTCGGCTCAGGTCATGATCCTGGGACCCTGGGATCGAGCCCTGCATTGGGCTCTCTGCTCAGTGGGGAGTCTGCTTCTCCCTCTCTCTGCCTGCCGCTCCCTCTGCTTGTGCTCTCTGTCAAATAAATGAAGTCTTAAAAAAGAAGAACTTCATGTTAAGTGTGAAGCTTTGAAATACCCTAATGATTTTAACTGTGTATATTTCATTTAAGGTGTATATGCAAGAGTGATATAATAAAAATCTGTCTGTACCTAAAAGATATCTTCTGGTAAGTATTCAATAAAAATTTAAATAAGAAAGTACTGTGCTGGGGCGCCTGGGTGCCTCAGTGGGTTAGGCCTCTGCCTTCAGCTCAGGTAGTGATCTCACCCCGGGTCCTAGGATCAAGTCCCGCGTCTGGCTCCCTGCTCAGTGGGGAGCCTGCTTCTCCCTCTGCCCCTTCCCCTGCTAGTGCTCTCTCTAGCTTTCTCTCATGCGCTCTCTCTCTCCAATAAATAAAATCTTAAAAAAAAAATCATGCCAATTTAACAGAGAAGGTTTTTTATAGCAATTCACAAAATGATGGTGTACCGTATGATCGATGGTGTCTAGGAGACATTTAAATCGTGCTGGTAGCAATGAAAATAGGTGTGACTCTTGGAAAAGCAAGATGACAGCATCAAAGACCAAAAAAAAAAAAGGTACATACCTAAGAAACCCAATAGTCCTACTTCCAAGAATTCATCCAAATTAAAGTATTTAACAACAAAAAGCTGTAACACAGGATGTACATGATATCACTCAAGAGCAAAAAAAAAAAAAAATGAAGACTATCAAAAAATATTCAACAATGGTGGACTGGTTACAGAAATTACTGTAGCATTAATAATTAAAATTATTCAGAGTGAAAATGTTTATTTCATACTGCTAAGTAAAAAGGAAGAATAAAAAAGATGTGTAAGTAAAGGTGAAAAACATATACCTTCAAATACTAGCCAAAAGAAAGAGGGCATAGAAATATTAATATTAGAAAAAACACTGTTAAGACAAGAAGCACAGTAAGAATAGAGAAGATCATTATGTAATACTAAATAGTTTAATTCACTGCAATTCAAACCACCAGGATTATTCACCACAATTTGAAACTCAGATATACAGCTGAACCTTGAACAACGCGGGAGTCAGGGGGAAGGTTTAGGGCATCGGCTTCCTGTGGAGTCGAAAATTTGTGTATAAATTTTGACTTCCCCAAAACTTAACTACTGGTAGCCTACTGTTGACATACAGCTGATAAACATATATTCCGTATATCATATGTTATGTGTATTATATACTATAATCTTATAATAAAGCTAGAAAAAAGAAAATGTTAAGAAAATCATGAGAAAATACATTTATAGTACTGCACTGTATTTATTTTTTGAAGAAAGTTTGCATACAAGTGGACAGATGCAGTTCAAACCCACGCTGTACAAGGGTCAACTAACTGTAACTTATAAAATAGACTCAAGTATAAAGAAAAAACTAATAGAGCTTCAAAGCTGCCATCATAGGAGGTTTTTATAAAATTAGTAGATCTAGGAGACAAAATCAGTAATAGATTTAAAAAAAATCATAATCAATTCAGGCTATTAGTTAGGATGGCGATTATATATTTTTTAAAAAAGGAAAATGACAAGTGTAGGCAAGGATATGGAGAAACTGGAACCCTGTGCACTGCAGGTGAGAATACAAAATGGTGTAGCTGCCGTGTAAGTCAGGCAGTTCCTCAGAAAGTTAAACACAGAATTACCACATGACCCAGCAATTCCGCTCCTAGGTATATACCCAAGAGAAACAAAAACAGGGACTCGGATACCTGTACACCAATGTTCACAGCAGCATTATTCACAACAGCCAAAAGGTGGAAAGAACCCAAGTGACCATCAACAGACAAACAGATAAACAAAATGTACTACATGCACACAACGGGGTATTACTCAGCCATAAAAAGGAATAAAACTCTGACACATACTACAACATGGATAAAACTTAATCATACAAATGTTGTAGGATTTCACTTATATTAGGTACCTAGAGTAGGCAAATTCACTGAGACAGAAAGTGGAATAGAAGTTATCAGGGGCGGGGCGCCTGGGTGGCTCAGTCATTAAGTGTCTGCCTTCGGCTCAGGTCATGATCCTAGGGTCCTGGGATCGAGCCCCGCATCGGGCTTCCTGCTCCTCTGGAAGCCTGCTTCTCCCTCTCCCACTCCCCCAGCTTGTGTTCCTGCTCTCGCTATCTCTATTTCTGTCAAATAAATAAATAAATAAATAAATAAATAAATAAATAAATAAATAATAAATAAAGGAAGTTATCAGGGGCTGGGGAGGAAGGAGAGAAAAATTACTGTTTATTGTTTAATGTTTCTATTTGGGATGGTGAAAAAACTCTGGAAATGTATAGTGGTCATGGTTGCACAATATATGAATGTACTTTTGTCCCACATCGGGCTCCCGGCTCAGCGGGGAGCCTGCTTCTCCCTCTGACCCTCTCCCCTCTCATGCTGTTTCTCTCCCGCTCACTCTCAAATAAATAAATAAATAAATAAATAAATAAATAAATAAATAAAATTAAAAAAAAAAAGAAAAGAAAAAGCAGGCAAGCCTGTGGAAAGGCACACTTGATCGAGTCCCACATCAGGCTTCCTGCTCAGCAGGGAGTCTGCTTCTCCCTCTGACCCTCCTCCTTCTCATGCTCTCTGTCTCTCATTCTCTCTCTCGCAAATAAAATCTTTAAAGAAAAGAAAAGAAAATAATAATAATAATAAACTACATAAAAATTAAAATGCTAAAAAAAATCTGAAAACAAAGAAAGTAAAAAAGACAAGCTACAAATAGAGAGTGAATATATATAACACACAAAACCGAGGGGCGCCTGGGTGGCTCAGTCGTTAAGCGTCTGCCTTCGGCTCAGGTCATGATCCCGGGGTCCTGGGATCGAGCCCCGCATCGGGCTCCTTGCTCAGCGGGAAGCCTGCTTCTCCCTCTCACACTCCCCCTGCTTGTGTTCCCTCTCTCGCTGTGTCTGTCAATAAAATCTTTAAAAAAAAAAAAAAACTGACAAAGAATTGCCACTTGAAATATATAAACTCCTACAAATGAATTTTTTAAAGATTTTAGGTATTTATTTTAGAGAGAGAGCATGCATGCATGAGTGGGGGGAGGGGCAGAGGGAAAGGGAGAGAGACTCTCAAGCAGACCCTACAGTGAGCACAGAGCCCAACCTGGGCCTCAATCTCACGACCCTGAGATCAGGCCGCTGATTCTTGGGTTTGGCTCAGGTCGTGATCTCAGGGCTGTGAGGGCTCTGTGCTCAGCACAGATTCTACTTAAGACTCCTCTGTCCCTACCCACGCCCCCAGCCTAAACCATGCCAGCAAGCACTCCCTCTCTCTCTCAAATAAATATACCTTTAAAAAAACAAAAAAACAGGCACAGGAGATGAACAAGGAATTCTCAGAAAAAGATGAATGCCCAGTAAACAAATCAGGGAAATGGAAATTACAACCTATATCAGATGCTATTTTATATCCCCAGATTGAGAAAAATTTATAAATCAGAGAACGTTATATGATGAAATGGATATGGATAAACAGGATCTCTTTGACACTGCTGATGTAATATGGTACAACCACTTTGGAAAACAATTTGATGTATCCTGAAAACTGAACCTGTGATACAGCAATTCTACTCCTCACTGAGAGTGTGCATGTGCACACACATGAGCAGCTGTGAGACATACAGCAAGACCATCCACAGCAAGATAATCCACAAGAGCAAAAACTGAAAGTAACTTAGATGTCTGTCAACATAACAGATAATTAAACCGTGGGATTTCATAAAATGGAATACTAACGATATAAAAGAGAAAACCATAGGGGTGCCTGGGTGGCTCAGCTGGTTAAGCGTTGGACTCATGATTTCGGCTCAAGCCATGATCTCATGGGTTGTGAGATCGAGCCCCAAGCTGGGCTCCGAGCTCAGCCAGAGTCTGCTTGAGATTCTCTCCCTCTCCCTCTCCCCGCTGTGTGCGCGTGCTCTCGCTCTCTCTCAAATAAATAAGTAAAAAAAAGAACCGAAAACAGAAAGAAAACTATAAATGAACTAGAGCTTTACATATGGCAACATGGATGAATCTCAGTATCTTAATATTAACAAGCAAGTTAGTAAAAAATATATGTAAGAAACCACATACATAAACTTCAAAAACATATAAACTGGACAATATACAGTCTAGCGAGGCATCTGGTGGCTCAATCAGTTAAGTGTCTGACTTTGGCTCGGGTCGTGATCCCAGGGTCCTGGGATCAAGCCCCATGCCCAGGCTCCCTGTTCAGCAGGGTGTCTGCTTGTCCCTCTGCCCCTACCCCCACTCGTGCCCGTGCTCACTCTCTCTCTCTCTCAAATAAATAAAATTAAAAATATATATATACAATCTAAGAATATATACGTGTAATAAAAATATAAATAAAGGCAAGCAAACAATAAAATTAAGTGTAGTTCTCCTTGATGAAGGAAGGGAAATGCTGTTAGTAGAAGCAAGCTGTCACAGAACACTTTAAAGATAATAGCCCTCTATTTGCTGAGACAGGTAAAATACAGGGGTGGTTTGATTTTTCTTTAAATTCTTAGTGTAAACATTACATATCCTTTTTTGTCTGAAATATTTTGTAAGTTCTTAAAATTCTGTTGACATTGATCAAAACCATCTGAAAAATATATTTATATGTGAACAAAAACTAAGATATAAAAAAATAAATTTTATAGTAGGACAATAGGATTTGGAATAGTGTTTTCCTCGTGTTAACATTTTATTATCTTTTACAAAAAACATTTTTTTACAGCATTTTCAGTTACTGTGGCGAGCACTCACCTGATCACTAAGCAAAAGCTGATTTCCTCCTTGATACAAAGTATCACAAAGCATGTCCACATCATTATTCAGTTTCGACAGAAAGAAAGAATGTTCTTGAGTAGATACTGCCAACTGATCTTGTACTAAAGAAACATCCTTTTTTAATTTCTCAGCCACTTCCTCCAGGTTTCCATGGGTTATAAATAATTCTTTTTTCTTATTCTCTCCTTCTAAAAGTTGATAAAGCCTAAAATGTGAAAATAAAAATTACAGGAGAAAATTCTCAAATCAGTACAATTTTCAGAATTATAATTCACTTTATTGGGCATCTTTGGGGATATATAACAGATTAAAAATATTAACCTGGAAAAAAATTAATCTGCTGCTAAATCAAGCAACCAAAAACATTCCAGCTAAAATACTTTCTCATTACAGGGCACCTGGGTGGCTCAGTTGGTTAAGCATCTGCCTTCAGTTCAGGTCATGATCCCAAGGTCCTGGGATCCAGTTCCATATCAGGCTCCTTGCTCAGCGGGGAGTCTGCTTCTCCTTCTACCCCCACCCCCTGCTCATGCTCTCTCTCTCTCTCTCATGCTCTCTCTCTCAAATAAATAAAATCTTTAAAATATATATGTAAGAAAAATAAAATAAAATACTATCTCATTACAGAAATACATATTGTAATTACTGTATCTGCTTCTACTTTCTCATCCCCCAAGTTTTAAATATATTTTTTGACTTTTAACTGCCATTATCCTACTTCAAACAAAGTATGTTTCAGAGATACTGCCCAAGAAAACATTTCTTTCACAGAATACAAGTATGCTATAGTAGAAATAGCAACGAGCTCGAAACAGAAGACCCAGGTCTAAGTTCTGGCGGTCTTTTGATACCTGGGTCAAGTCAACCTCTGAGACTACATTTTTCATGTCACATACCTATCATTACAGCATTGTAGAGAATTTAAAAGAGAAAAACTGAAAATAATGTAAAAAGAAATGTAAACAATAAAGAGCTACAGAAATAAACTTGCTACTCCAGTCTTATCCATATTTGATTGTCAAATTAAATTCCTAATGAGCTATGAGGCCAATTTAACACTTCAAATATTAATGGCAGAAAATCCTTTGGAACAAATGGAAAAATGTGAGGCAACATTTTCTACACATTTCTGACAAAAAGGGTTTGTCCTTTTTCTTCTATTTCAAAAAAATATATATTTTTAATTATTTTAACAATTTGCAACAGAGTTCATAAAACTGGTTCAAGTCCAAGGCTGCCAATTTTGTTCTTGTGGGACATGACTACACAATTTCAGGGGGGAACCATTCTTAGCTCATGATGTCAGTGTCACCCTTTCCATGCCCCTCACCTCATTAATAAGACAAAAAAAAGGAGGGGCGCCTGCATGGCTCAGTTGGTTAAGTGTCTGCCTTTGGTCCTGGGATACAGCCCCACAAAGGGCTCCACATTGGGCTCCCTGCTCAGCAGGGAGTCTGCTTTCTCCCTCTGCCCCTCGCCCTGTTCGTGCTCGCTCTCCCTCTCTCAAATAAATAAGTAAAACCTTAAAAAACAAAACAAAACAAAAAGATTAGTGATTTTCCTCTAGCACTAGAGAAAAATCAGGAGCAGGATCCAGATTTTTGAGGCCTTTGACTACTTTAGTCCTCCAATTTTAGTATCCCTATACCATCAATTGCTTAGACATCCAGAAGAGGTTGGGAGCAAGCATTCATTCTCGCTGATTCACCTGACAAGAAACAAAGTCCGTTTTCCCCTCTCTCCGCCGACACCTTTTCTGAATGCAATCAGTTCTCTGCCTAGCAATACCAACTACACACCAAAATGTATTCAAACTCCCTGCAGTTAAAACTCCTGCCTCAATCTCAAAGTATCTAAATAATGGTGCCCAAAGGTGAATAAGACCTTGTATATATTCACTCCACCAACCCATCCAACTCAGCTCTAAAACAGCTACTTCCAGATTTAACATGAATGGAAAAGAGAGCAAGATATTCAAAAGGAAAGAGTCATATGCAAGAAAAGTGAAAGAAGAGAACAGAAGGCCAAAAACAGAGAGCAAAGAATGTTTTAAACTTCCACAATATTAGTTCAAACTCTCTACAGTATTTTACAAAAGCAAAAAAAAAAAAAAACAATTACTAAAGAAACAAAGATGCAGGGCGTCTGGGTGGCTCAGTTGGTTAAGCGACTGCCTTCGGCTCAGGTCATGATCCTGGAGTCCCTGGATCGAGTCCCGCATCGGGCTCCCTGCTCGGCAGGGAGCCTGCTTCTGCCTCTGACCCTCCCCCCTCTCATGTGCTCTCTCTCTCTCTCATTCTGTCTCAAATAAATAAATAAAATCTTTAAAAAAAAAAAAAAAGAAAAGAAACAAAGATGCATACCTATGAGTAGAAAAGTCCTTGGTATCAATGGTATTCCTTGGATTTATCTGCTGAGATACTGATGGGTCTGTTAGCATTTCTAATCGTTGGTGGAGCATCCTATTACTTTGACTAAGCTCTTGAACCAAATTTTCAAGTTGACGATATATGTCCCAATGCTTTCTCAATTCAATTTCATATGATAATTGTAGAAGTTCAAAAGATGCCTTTTGCTTTATCAACTGATTTAAAACTAACTCTTGTCTTGCTGTATAATAGTCTTGTTTAGCAATCTGTAGATCAAAATCTCCCTTTACAACTGGCATATTCAATAACTGGGCATTCTCTTTTACCACAGCAGGCAAACTTTTATCTTTCATATGAGAGATTTGTTCTTCAAGTTTCAGAATCTCACTATTCAAGTTAGAAATTTTAGCATCCAAATTATCTTTGCCAAGAGCCTACACAGAAAAAGCAATTACATTTAAAGCAGTAAGTATAAAGTTGAAATAGTTTTAAACTTATTTTTACTTCCCATTTTAGTTTATCAGATAACATGCTAATAAAAACTAATTTCATGTTAACAAAAGCCAAAATCACAGTTTAAAAAAGGAAAAGCGTGGGTAAATTGCTAAATTTTAACGCTATTACTACCACATATATACAATAATGGCTACCAAAACAGACACCTTGTCATGCTTGTCTTACTTAATAAAAATCATTAGTGCACTACTAACTGAATGCAAATGTACACTATTCTAAGTTTTTCTTAAAACTAAAATAGTCCCAGTAGCTATGCTCCTAGTCTGTCAGCTGATTTTAGCACTTGCAAAGAGTGAGGAACCTCATATGTTATTCCCAAGTTTGTGTCAGTTATATGAACTCACTTGGTGCTGATACTCAATTTCAGCTGTATTTTCACTCAATTACATAGTGGTTATATTACCAAGACTGCAAGCTTTCCAAGAGTGCAGATGGATATGGGCACTACATCTGTACATTCTCAACAAAAAAATCAGGGTTTCAGTCCACTGAACTGGGTCCCTGACTTCATTAGCACCAAACAAGGCAGGACACCCGTAACAAAGCAACAAAGCTCTTTACCCATACATCATAAAAGAGGGAATTTCAGTGTCTTCTGAGTCCGAACCAACATGAATTTCAATTTCAGAAAAAGTACTTTTGTTTAAAATTAGCTAATGTGATTGGGTTATAATTACTATTTTTGCCCTCTACTGATATGAAGATCTATTTGTATGAAACACTGAAATACATCAAAACTAAGCAATAAATAAACAGAAAATAAGAAAATGTAACTTATGTTACATTTGTTACATTATGTTACAAATGTACTTGTTTCATCCCCCTTTCTAAAGTATTTTAATATTAACATATCTTCCATTATGAACAACAATTACTGTACGAATCCAGTCTCATTTCTCATGTTTACCTTGCTAGTGAGGCTATGAAGATTCTCCTCTGCCCACTGTATACTCGACTTCATGCTCAAATTACTTGCTTTCAAGTGAATTAACTCATGTTGAGCACAAACGTAAGCTAGCTGCAGCCTAGCCATCTCTAGCCATCTCTCCTCGAGGACTTCCTGACTATCACAAATAGATGGTGCTTGTATATCTAAAAGTTGAAAATTTTCTTCATTTGAACTTTCAACTACTTCATGTATACCCGGAAAGAACTGTTTTTTGGTATATAAAGTTAATGCTGCTGTGCTCTGCTCTTCCTGGCTTAGATATTTTTCCAAGGAAAACTGAGATAAAAACACCAGTGGATTTGTCCCTTGATCCAAATTAGAATGTTTGAAAAACATCATCAATTTTGCAACTCCATCAGTAAGAGCCTGAAGTTCATTATTTATCTTAGTATTCATAGCATTTAGAATTCCTTGACTCTGCTTCAGCCTTTTAGTGGCCGCTTCTTCTTTAGCATTTAACCTCAGAGATTTGTGGCTTGTTACTGAAGCCATCAACTGGCATTTATTACGTCGCTGAATTTTTAGGTTCTTCAACTTCTGCAGAGTTTGAACCTCAGTCTCTAATTTCTCTAGCTCTTTGTCATCCAAGATACATGTCTTCAAATCAGAAGTTTTACAGGTTTTAAGAACTTCATCCAACGCTGCTCCTTCTAGGATAGGCTTGCCTGATGTTTGAAGAATGCCAAAAGCTTCCAATTCTTCTTCAGACAATACATTCTGTTCATTCACATTCCCACAAAACCACTTCAGAAATGATTCATCTTCAACAGTCTCAAACAACCAGTCAAAATCTTCCCCACTGAGAGTATCAGCTTTGGGATAATTGATTTTTTTTAATGTTTCCACAAACTCTTTTCCACAACTCATGGTTTAAGTACCCAATTTCTTTGTAACAGATACGGGTTTATGTTGCTATTTAGAAAATAAACCCAAGACACAAACAAAACTAATTTTATGTCAAGTCCACAGAGAAGGGAAAAAATATTTTTAGAATCTGACTTCTCCTGGGGGAGGAAAAACAGGTATTAGACCATAAGTAAAGTAACTGTATTTGTAAAAGGACGATACTGATAAATATCACAGAATATCTGGGAACCATCTAACCCAGAGGTAGTTATAGCTGAAATGTCTGATGAAGATAAACAAATTCGGCTATTACTGAGAACACTGCAAAAATAATGAAAACCAATTAGCAAGAAAATCTTTCCAAAGACAGTCATTAAAAATACATGGTCTCTTACGAAGCAGCTCAGTTCTTTCATTCAGTTTATCTAAACAAGTCCAAGCCAGCCTGCGGCTAAGCAGCCTCTTCCCCGCACCCAGTTCCCAAGTAAGAGAAGAGAAATAAATACGAAATGTCCTCGAGGAAGAGTCAACGAAATGTTTACCTCAGCGACTCAAATCAGCATCCGCCATTCACACAGGAATCAATGTCCAGAGACGGTCAACCCAGTGCAGGCAACATCAGGCTTCAGACTGAAGAACCGTTCTCAAACTGATCTTAAAACTCCTCAGCAAAGGGGGAAAAAGGCCACGATGTACGGTGATGGCGTCAGGACTTAATGCGGTTCCATCTCGCAAGGTATAGCGTCCGGTCCTTACGCCGTGCACCCAAAACTAATGCAACGGTGCGCGTCAACCACGCTTCAAAAGACTAAAGCAAAATAACCCCGAAACCCGAATCCCAAGCACCCGCCACTTCCCAAGTGCCAAAGAACTAAGCAAACGGTGGTAAAAACACGGGCGGCATTCGCCCCTTTGCAACCAACGCACCGCCGAACCGCCCCCGATGACCTCACCGAGGGAGCTCCACGGACGGCGACCGGCCGCACAGACACACGCGCGACACGGACGCATGTTAGTCACACACACCCGCAAAAGCCGCCGAACTAGCGTTAAAGGCAAACTGCACAGACGCCAGGCCCGCGCGGCGCACTCCGTGGAGCTCTGGGACGACCGCCCGCGTACCGGCGGCGCGACGGCACGCGCCGCCGCCCGCAGGACCAGCAGCGGCCCCGCCCCCGCCGGAGCCGCGCGAGACCACTCACCCGCGGCCCCGCCCGCGCCCCGCCCCGCCGAGGCCCCGCCCCCGCCCGCCGCCCCGCCCCGCTCCCCTCCCGGACTACCCGCTTCAGCCCAGCTCCCGCCCCGCCCCCGACCGGACGGCGCCTCACTCACCCGCGCCGCGCTCCCCGCTGACGCCCACCTCCCGCCTGCCCTCGCACTCCCCGCCCTCGCCCTCGCCCGTGGCCCCAAGCCCTGCGGACCCCGACTCGCGCGCCTGGAAGGAGTCCCCAGGGGTGCCTGCTTAGAAGAGGCAGCTGGGGGACCGGCGCCGCTCCCACAGCCCCAAGAGAGGCTGCCGCCATTCACCTCTGGAAGCTCCGTTCGCGCGCCTCAGAAGCCCGCCGCCGCGCTCCACGCCTCGCACTGCCTCACGGGAGCGCTGCGCGCGCAGAGGGCAGAGACAGGGCGTGGCCTGGCCGTCTGCGCAGGCGTGGTGTCGGAGGAGGCGGGCGTGGCGAGGAGGAACTTTGGGGCGGAGCTGAGCAGGGTGCCGGTCCGCCCTCCGGCCGAACGTCAACCGGTGGGGGCGAGCTGGTTGGCTCCCGCCGCGGGGCGGGGCCGGGGTGCGCCAGGCCTGGTGGGGGCCTTGGGAGCGGGTCGGGTCTTAGAGCCCTATGCCCTGCGGCGGTGCGCTGTGCCCGGACGGGCTCCTCGGCTCAGGTCGGCTCTCGGTCCTGCCCTCCGGCTCCCCAGGCCCCCATCCTCTAACGAGGCCGTTTTTAGGGAAAGCCGGGTGCGGTCAGGAGCACGCCGGAGCTCGCCTGGCCGCGGCCCGGGGCCGCCCGGCCGGTGGGCTCTGCGCCGCCAGGACCTGTTTAAGTGAGCGCGTCCCTTCGACAAGTCTTGGGAGCGGACGAACTACGGGACCCAAAACGAGCCGAGCAGCGTCTGGTGCGTCTGTAGGCTCAGCTGTCATTACTCGCTTTACAAGATTTTGCGTTGAACGTTGTTTTGCAAAGCACGCAATTCCAAGCCCTCACCTGACCGCTAAGCAAAAGCCGACTTCCTCCACAATCCCATTTTCAAAATATAATTAAAAAAAGATTTTATTCATTTATTTGAGAGAGAGAGAGAGAGCACGAGCGGGGGGGATGGGGAGAGGCAGAGAGAGAAGCAGACTCCTCGCTGAGCAGGGAGCCCGATGCGGGTTTCGGCCTGGGCACCCCGGGATCATGACTGAGCAGAAGGCAGACCCTTAACCAACTGAGCCACCCAGGCGCCCCTCAAAATATAACTTGTAAAAAGTTGAAAATATGGGAACACACGTGGTATGTGTGGAAGAGGTATGTAAGTCAAGAGGGAACACCTTCCAAGGAGGGTGCCAGACCCCGCACATGGGTGGTCAGTCCGTGAGCGGGAGACAGCTGCACTAAGGCAGCCCAGAGCAGCCACACCTGCGGGGCTGCCCTCGGTATCCCCACCGGACAGACTCATTTACCCCTCACCGGTCTTCTACAGACTCACGTCTACCCCTCCTTACTCCAAAGTCGGTTCTCCCTCCACCCCCAGCATCAAATGACCCGAAGGTGGCTTGTCGGAGACGAACTAGTCTCATGGGACATTGGAAGGGCAGAAGTCTTTCTGGATAATTTTTCTTAATATTTTTAGGGGACAAAAAAAAAGAATGGTGTAAAGCAGAAATCATGGATTCATCTTGAGGGAAAGATACTTCTTATTAATCCTTCATTTGTTTTCCTTTTTTATTTTCCTCTTCTAAGTGACAATAAAGCCTAAAATGATCTGAAAAGCAAACATTACAGGGGGACAAACTCACAGATTGGTACCCCGCCTGAAACAAGCTGGGACTGGACCAGGAAAGAGACTGGTGAGCGGGGAGGCAAGGTTGGAGCCCATGGACCAGGAGGACTCCTCTTGGCCACTGACCCTGGGGGTGGTAGAAGCTGTGCAGACAGCGCCTTCAGGATGTTTTGCTGAGGAGGCAAAGACTGAGGGAGAGAGAGGAGCAGGATGACACAAGATGAGGGGGTGGGAATGTGGGGTGGGGTGGGGTGGGGGGAGGGTTTGGGTTTGTTTTGTTTTCAGATGAGAGGAACTTGGGGATGTTTATAGACTGAGAAGAGGAACTTAGAAAAGAGGAGAAGAAAGAAAAGGGGCTGCTTTTTGGAAAGATCCCCGTGGGACAGGAGGGTGAGGGACAGGAGGATGAGGCATAGGGAGCTGTTCTGGAATCCCACATTTCCTCGAGACTCCTGGGTCATTTCCTGGGCCCACAAATTCTCCGTATGATTTTGAATTGCTGACCGTGGTTATTTGTTTGAAAGATGTTTGTGGGACCAAAAAAGCCATAAAAACATGAAGTAGAAATCACAATGTTCTTAGCTCCCAGAGTACAAACAACACACGACAGGTTTAATCATGCAGCCCCCAGAAGCTTTCTTTGAAAACTTGATTTATTAGGGTCAGGTTGCATTTGGGATTTAAGAAGCAAATAGGTTACACTTACTTCCAAGACAAGGTTTCTTTCCTCCAGTCAAAATCGTTCGGGGTCTTAGTGGGGTCCTTACAGAGTCAAAAGATGAAGGGAACCCACAGATGAACCTTCCGCGAGGAAGCCCATGAGGAGGCAGGCCTCCTCGCACACCTGTGAGCCGCAAGTGGGCTCGCTGATTGCTTTTTCTCTTCTTCCTATAGGAATCTTTTTTCTCCTGCTGATACTAAAAAGTATTTTAGGTTCTGGACAATATGTTTTTAGATATGTCTAACCGGAAGTCTGATGTTAAGGATCATTTGTTCTTCAACGCTGTTTTTGGTACTGGCAGGACTCCATTCTTCAAGCAATAAGAGGAGTGGGGGGCTTTTCCAGGCAGAGGAGTGACATTCTCAGTGACAAAAGTGACAAAAAGTGGTCAGAGACAGATGCAGGGAGACTCCCATGATGGAGGGAAGCAAGGATGGGAGAGGGAAGCGAGCCGCGAAGGTGCAGGAGCAGATGGGGAGAAAGCAGTCACCTGGGATTTGTTCTGGAGGCTGTGTGTGGGGGAGGGCGGACAACAAGACCCCCTGAGGCCCTTCTGCCTACCAAGGGGGAGAGGAAGCGCAAGCTGGCTCCTGGAGGGGCAGAGAGCAGCCTTGAGGGCAGAACCCCAGAGCCAGGAGGGCCAGAGACGGGATGACTCTCAGCTTCCAGCAGAGCAAGAAAGTGGCACTTCTTTCTATTCTTCCTATAAATCCTGCCTAGTCAGAAGAAAGCATTAGGGTATCAAGGAAGAGGGTGGGAAGAAAGTGATTTTTGTCTTCCATCACATTGATATTCATGCAACAAAAGTAAAAACTCAGAGCAGGTTGGGGTCAGGAGCTCACCAAGATAGTTCGATTGGGGATGGGGAGAGTTTGGGGGTAAAAGGGCTCAGAGGAAGGAGGAAGTGAAGGGCCTGGTAGGGGGGCTCGGGGTCTCATGAAGGCCCTCAAGACAGGCTGAGGAGGCAGAAAGCAATGAGGAGGCAGTTGAGAGCCCCTGCAAGCTAAACGGGCAAGTGGCATAATCCCATTTACATTCTGGAAAGATCCTCATGTGGGCTTAGCATGCACTGGGGGCCTGGCCCAGCTAGGAACTGGGAACTGGGAACTGAGGAAAGGAAACAGCATGGAAAGGGCCTTGCCACCCAATTTTGGGGGCCTGATCCTGGCAGAAGTGTGATGGGAGGGGGCATAGGAGGAGGTCACAGAGCTGAGCTGGGAGCTGGGGGGCTGGTGAGTGCGTAGGGACAGAGGGAAGCAAGGGTGGGAGAGGGAAGCGAACTGCGAAGGTGCAGGAGCAGATGGGGAGAAAGCAGGCACCTGGGATTCGTTCTGGGGCAGACAACAAGAGCCCCTGAGGCCCTTCTGCCTACCAAGAAGAGCGTGGGCAGAAGGGTGGACATGGAGACAGGTGTCCCCCTTGAGGGGCATTGCCTGTAATCCAGGCTGAATATGGAGATGGGACTCTGGTGGCAGGAGGGATTTCCCTGAGGACCAGGGTCCCATCCCAGGCCCCCCTGGCTCAGTGGGTGACTCGGGGAAAGTGGGTACCCTCTCTGAGCCTCAGTTTTCTGTCTTTGAGATGGGCCCAGTGTGAGGACAGCAGGCTCTGACTTCGCAAAGTGCTTAGCCCAGCTGCTGGAGCCCTTATGACATCCGTAAAAGGTGGTGGTGATTTGAAGTCCTAGCAATATTTGGAATTCAAAAGCTGCTCATTTACATTCACACCCCAAGCCCCAGCTGCATTCCCAGTAGGAATTCCCTTGTTTTCCAGAGGTGCCCCTGGAGGACTCACCCAGGTTCAAGAGGTGAGTGCTGCAGTCTGCTGAGGGAGGGAAGAGGTCCCTGCAGGTCCTCTCCCAGACACCCCAGAACCTGCTAGAGTGAATCACTGAGCCATCTCCAGTGTGCCGTGGCGCCCCGGGGGGCCCCAGGAAAGTCCTGTTCTGGCTACCCAACTCCCTACTACCTGAGCATTTTGTCCCCTAGTTGCCTTGTGCTGGGGCCACACCATTTCACACCCTCACCCTGCACAGCAGCAGGCAAAGGCCATGCCTGGGACATTCTGGGGATGCTGAGGACAGGTCCAAGGAAGGTTTCTCAAGGTGCATCCTGACAGCCAACTACAGCTGTGTGGAAAGGGCACCTGGCTGAGAACACCTGCTATCCACCCTAAGACCGACCACCCCAAGGGCCAACCTGCCCTCCTGAGACAGTGCCCCAGCCCCAGGGCCAGGAGCAAAGTAGGAATGCTGGCAGCAAGAGCATCTCGTTGGCAGTTGGCAGGGGTGGGGTGGGGTTCCACTTTCATCCAACTCCAGGTGTGACCATCCAGGGAGGCAGCCGCGATGGTGGCGTCTCCATGGTAGCCAGTTGGCAGTGGGGAAGGACCATGGTATGTTGGGCCTCCCTGAAAGCAGAAGCTGTGGGCAGGGTGGTGAAGGCTGCCAAGGTCACCGGTGGGCTCAGGCTCGCTATGGAGGCCGAGGGGAGGGGAGCCAGATATGGTGACGGAAAGAACTGGAAGCCAGAGGGGTGAGGTATAAAAATCTGTATTTATATTACAAAGACAGAATGGTACAGCACAGTCCCTCCCGGTGAACAGGCAGGTGGGTGGCCCAATTCTCTCCAGCAAGGATGTTGTGATGCGCTGACCTGGCCAGCACCAGGGCCCCTGGGCAGCCCCAGACTCTGGCAAAGAACCTGCCCTAGATGTGGCCTGGGGTCAGAATTCTGTGTACATGGCCATGGGGAGGGGGCCCCAGGTTAGCTGGCCCAGAGAGAGGCAGGGGTTGGTAGAGCCGGGGAAGCCTGCCTCACTCAGCAGATGGGGATTGTCTGGGGCAGACAGGAGGGCGGAAGCCCACAGGGCTGTGGTTGGGCACACAGCTCCATCAGCCCAGGAGGGCAGGCTTGGGCACTGGGCCACCAAGACCCAAACTACAGAGGCGGGCCCAGAGCTCCAAGGAGAAGAAGCCTTCTTGCAGTCTCCCCAGCCAGCTGGGTCTGCACTGGGGCAGTGGTGGCCTGGTGTATGGGGTCACCTCCCAGTGAGGGTGGGGACCCAAACCTGAGCCTGGGGTTCCAGGATCCTGGCCGAGGGCCACAGTGGCCCACATAGGTGTGGGAGGGCACATGGATAGAGGTCACAGACACCCCTGCAGGCCTGTTCTGGTCCCATCTGCTTTCTAGAGACTCAACGATGCTCAGTTACCCAACATGGCCTCAAGCCAGGCCCCCACTGGGTCTCTGCGGCCACCAGCAACAGCTAACACGTGCAAAGGCAGGGAGCTCGTGGGAGGGGAGGATGGATGTGTGAGTAACTGCTAGCACCGGACCCTGGCCCTGAGGACCACCCCCCTCGCCTGTCTGCTGGTGGCAGAGAGGGGCCCCCGGCCCACGCGGGAACCATGGCCTGAAAAGCCACGGGCTGAGCTGCCAGGAAGGTCAGCTGGGGGCCACAGTTGGTCACCCAGGGAGGATTCTGCTGGCTGGGGTGGGAGCAGAGCCCCCAGCTACTGGGGGAGCTGGTGCCTCAAGAACGGAGAGCACAGACCATCCCAGGGGCCTGGACTTGTGTCTCCTGCAGCGGGATCTTCAACTCGGGCCCTCCTACCCTGCTCAGAGCGGGCTGGTGCTCACAAGAAGCACTGTGTGGCATGCTCAGGCAGACAGGACAAGCTGGTCTGGGCTCTGCAGACCCCCAGTGAAGCTGGAAGGAGATGCTGACAGAAGAGTTTTCCTTGCAAGCACCAGCAAGATGTTTGGACAATCTCCCCAGTTCACACACTGCCTCCCACGAGCCTGCTCTCCACTCATCATCCCGAGCCCCTGCAGGGCAGGTTCTGTGCCAGAGCTGTTTCCAGGGACCCCGTTCTGCCTCAGTAGGCCACCCACCCTGGGGTGTCCATCGGCTTGACCAAAAATAAACACGAACTTTCCCCCACAATCTGGAAATCGGTTACAATGCACCAGAGAGGGAAGGAGATGCAGCTACAGGCCAGCCCCACAGCACGCCACCCAAATATTGCTGTGCAGACAAGGACTTCAGGAACAAAAGGCCAGGAGAAGCCTCCTGATGCCCAAGCCTGGCTACCCAGGGGGAAGGGCTGTCTTCATCAGCTGCCAATGTCTGAAATCTGGAGCCCTCGCCCCAGGCCGGGGGAGCAGGGAAGGGTCAAGATGGGTACAGGGGAGAACCTATTTCTCTGGTGAGCAGGCCCCTGACCAGGAGGCCAGGCTGCCTGGCAGGCCCCGACTGACCGCTGGGGAGGGCAAGATGGGGGGTGGGGGGGCCGCTGGGTCACTGGGGGAGCCAGGTGACAGAGAGCTGCCCACACAACCCCTGACCGGCCCCGCAGTCTCTCACTCCCAGAAAGCCGTGGCTGCTGGGAGGGGCCGCGGCACAGGGAGAAAGCTAGGAGGGCACCTGCAGGGCAGGCCAGGGGTGCCCCTTGCGCCACAAGGGAGATGCTGGTGGTGGTGGATGGGGCGGGGCCAGACACGGGACACAAGGCACACTTGGACAACGGTGACAGACAAGACGAGTCCCTGAGACGCTGGGTCGCTCCCACCCCTCAGCAAACAAGGACACAACAATGGCTAGGAAAATAGAGTACAAAAATCTCGTACAGGAAATTGAGGCAGCACACACTGATGTCACTTGGCGGGGAGTCCTTAGAGCTTTTTTCTCTTTTAAAAATGTTTCTCTTATTTTGGAGAAAAAGCCTCTCTCCCGGGAGCCCTGTTCTGGGCTGCTGGGCAGTGCAGCAATTTATTTATTTTATTTTTAAAGGTAGATGAGAAAGCCTCCTGAGGACTCCGTGCAGGTGAGCTGGGGTGGGACGAGGAGCCAGGCGCAGGCCAGGGGCCAGCAGGTGCCCAGATGACCCTTGAAGGCCTCCCTCCCCAAGACGTGTAGCCTCTGGGTCCGGCGACCACGTGTGTCTGCGTGTGGGCACGTGTGCGTGTGGGCACGTGTCCCCAGGCGTGTGCATGTGTACATCCAAGGGACCTAACAGAGCAGAAGCTGCCCAGCTTGGGATGGGGTGGCCTGGCCTGCCCCCAGGAGCCCAGCCCTGGCTCCTGACACCTGTGGGGTGCAAAGGACCCTCTCCACCCACTTGCCCCAGGGTGCTCACCCGAGTCCCGCCCTTCATGGGTCCCTCTGTCCAGGCCTCAGGAGCCTACGTGGACTGACAGACAGATGGACAGATGGACGGAGAGCCACGCCTTCCTTCCTTCCTCGGTCCACTCCTTTCTCCTGGGATCCAGGGTTGGGGTCTGAGCTCCCCGCAGTGGTCATTAAGCCCCTCACACGGTGCCCGCCGAGATTTGCAGCAATGATATTTAATACTTCTGGAATGATTAGGAATCTGAGAACAGACCGTGGGCGGCTACGCTGGGCTCCGGGATGTGGGAGCTGGGCCCCGTCTCCCTGCAGGGGTCCCTGCCCAGCTGGGAGGGGTGGGCGGCACGGCAGGCCCTGACCGGCAGGCAGGCGGAGGCGGGCAGCCCGGGCGGCAGCTGGAGCTTCCAGAATGGCACAGTGGCGGGCCCGCGGAGAGGCTTTCGAGGACTGGAGGGCTGGCACGCTTGGCCGGGTAGGCAGGCGGGCCAAGGAGCAGAGGGCACTGGGCCTACGAGAGGCCAGGGCGGCCAGGCCGCCGGCAGGGGGGCCCGTAGCCCCCGTCGCTGCAGCCACCACTCTGCAGGCTGTAGTGGTCGTCCGCGTCACTGCTGCTGCCAACACTGTCCAGCTCACCAGGGCCAAACTCCATGCCCTCTACGTCCACTTCTGGGGAGAACGGAGGGGGCAGGATCAGAAACTGGGGTGCCAGCTGGGGCTCCCTTCAAAGTTAGGGCTCATCTCCGCCCTTCGTGGAGGCAGCAGAGGCTCCAGGGGTGGGGGTGTGGGGGAAGCACCGGGCTCCAGGCCTGCAGCTTGGTGAGGAACACGGGGCCTGGAGCACAGACCAGCTGCCCTCCGTGCCTCACCCACCTCGTCCCGCCTCGTCCCGCCTCGTCCCGCCTCGTCCCGCCACGTCCCGCCTCTCCCGCCACGTCCGCCTCGTCCCGCCACGTCCCGCCTCGTCCCGCCACGTCCCGCCTCGTCCCGCCACGTCCCGCCTCTCCCGGCCAGGTCCCGCAGGGTCCCGCCTCTCCCGCCACGTCCGCCTCGTCCCGCCACGTCCGCCTCGTCCCGCCACGTCCCGCCTCGTCCCGCCACGTCCCGCCTCTCCCGGCCAGGTCCCGCAGGGTCCCGCCTCTCCCGCCACGTCCCGCCACGTCCCGCCACGTCCCGCCTCGTCCCGCCACGTCCCGCCTCGTCCCGCCTCGTCCCGCCACGTCCCGCCTCGTCCCGCAGGGTCCCGCCTCTCCCTCCATGTCCGCCTTGTCCCGCCTCGTCCCGCCACGTCCCGCCTCTCCCGCCACGTCCCGCCTCGTCCCGCCACGTCCGCCTCGTCCCGCCTCGTCCCGCCACGTCCCGCCTCGTCCCGCAGGGTCCCGCCTCTCCCTCCATGTCCGCCTTGTCCCGCCTCGTCCCGCCACGTCCCGCCTCTCCCGCCACGTCCCGCCACGTCCGCCTCGTCCCGCCACGTCCGCCTCGTCCTGCCTCTCCCGCCACGTCCCGCCTCGACCCGCCACGTCCGCCTCGTCCCGCCTCTCCCGCCACGTCCCGCCTCTACCCGCCTCGTCCCGCAGGGTCCCGCCTCTCCCTCCATGTCCGCCTTGTCCCGCCTCGTCCCGCCACGTCCCGCCTCTCCCGCCACGTCCCGCCACGTCCGCCTCGTCCCGCCACGTCCGCCTCGTCCTGCCTCTCCCGCCACGTCCCGCCTCGACCCGCCACGTCCGCCTCGTCCCGCCTCTCCCGCCACGTCCCGCCTCTACCCGCCTCGTCCCGCAGGGTCCCGCCTCTCCCTCCACGTCCGCCTTGTCCCGCCTCGTCCCGCCACGTCCCGCCTCGTCCCGCCACGTCCCGCCACGTCCCGCCTCGTCCCGCCTCGACCCGCCTCTCCCGCCACGTCCGCCTCGTCCCGCCACGTCCGCCTCGTCCCGCCTCGTCCCGCCTCTCCCGCCACGTCCCGCCTCTACCCGCCTCGTCCTGCAGGGTCCCGCCTCTCCCTCCACGTCCGCCTTGTCCCGCCTCGTCCCGCCACGTCCCGCCACGTCCCGCCTCGTCTCGCCTCGTCCCGCCTCGACCCGCCTCTCCCTCCACGTCCGCCTCGTCCCGCCACGTCCCGCCTCGTCCCGCCACGTCCCGCCTCGACCGCCTCTCCCGCCACGTCCCGCCACGTCCCGCCTCTCCCGGCCAGGTCCCGCAGGGTCCCGCCTCTCCCTCCACGTCCGCCTTGTCCCGCCTCGTCCCGCCACGTCCCGCCACGTCCCGCCTCTCCCTCCACGTCCGCCTTGTCCCGCCTCGTCCCGCCACGTCCCGCCTCGTCCCGCCTCGTCCCGCCTCGTCCCGCCTCGTCCCGCCTCGTCCCGCCACGTCCCGCCTCTCCCTCCACGTCCGCCTTGTCCCGCCTCGTCCCGCCACGTCCCGCCTCGTCCCGCAGGGTCCCGCCTCTCCCTCCACGTCCGCCTCGTCCCGCCACGTCCCGCCACGTCCGCCTCGTCCCGCCACGTCCGCCTCGTCCCGCCACGTCCCGCCTCGTCCCGCCACGTCCGCCTCGTCCCGCCACGTCCCGCCTCGTCCCGCCTCTCCCTCCACGTCCGCCTCGTCCCGCCTCGTCCCGCCTCTCCCGCCACGTCCGCCTCGTCCCGCCACGTCCCGCCACGTCCCGCCTCGTCCCGCCTCTCCCTCCACGTCCCGCCTCGACCCGCCTCTTCCGCCTCGTCCCGCCTCTCTCTCCACGTCCCGCCTCTCCCGGCCAGGTCCCGCAGGGTCCCGCCTCTCCCTCCACGTCCGCCTTGTCCCGCCTCGTCCCGCCACGTCCCGCCACGTCCCGCCTCTCCCTCCACGTCCGCCTTGTCCCGCCTCGTCCCGCCACGTCCCGCCTCGTCCCGCAGGGTCCCGCCTCTCCCTCCACGTCCGCCTCGTCCCGCCACGTCCCGCCACGTCCGCCTCGTCCCGCCACGTCCGCCTCGTCCCGCCACGTCCCGCCTCGTCCCGCCTCTCCCTCCACGTCCGCCTCGTCCCGCCTCGTCCCGCCTCTCCCGCCACGTCCGCCTCGTCCCGCCACGTCCCGCCACGTCCCGCCTCGTCCCGCCTCTCCCTCCACGTCCCGCCTCGACCCGCCTCTTCCGCCTCGTCCCGCCTCTCTCTCCACGTCCCGCCTCTCCCGGCCAGGTCCCACAGGGTCCCGCCTCTCCCGCCACGTCCACCTCGTCCCGCCTTGTCCCGCCACGTCCCGCCTCTACCCGCCTCGTCCCGCCTCTCCCGCCACGTCCCGCCTCTCCCGCCACGTCCCGCCTCTCCCGGCCAGGTCCCACAGGGTCCCGCCTCTCCCGCCACGTCCACCTCGTCCCGCCTCTACCCGCCTCGTCCCGCCTCTCCCGCCACGTCCGCCTCGTCCCGCCACGTCCCGCCTCGTCCCGCCACGTCCCGCCTCTCCCGCCACGTCCCGCCTCTACCCGCCTCGTCCTGCAGGGTCCCGCCTCTCCCTCCACGTCCGCCTTGTCCCGCCTCGTCCCGCCACGTCCCGCCACGTCCCGCCTCGTCCCGCCTCGTCCCGCCACGTCCCGCCTCTCCCGGCCAGGTCCCGCAGGGTCCCGCCTCTCCCGCCACGTCCCGCCTCTTCCCGCCACGTCCCGCCTCGTCCCGCCACGTCCCGCCACGTCCCGCCTCGTCCCGCCACGTCCCGCCTCGTCCCGCAGGGTCCCGCCTCTCCCTCCATGTCCGCCTTGTCCCGCCTCGTCCCGCCACGTCCCGCCTCTCCCGCCACGTCCCGCCTCGTCCCGCCACGTCCGCCTCGTCCCGCCTCGTCCCGCCTCTCCCGCCACGTCCCGCCTCTACCCGCCTCGTCCCGCAGGGTCCCGCCTCTCCCTCCATGTCCGCCTTGTCCCGCCTCGTCCCGCCACGTCCCGCCTCTCCCGCCACGTCCCGCCTCGTCCCGCCACGTCCGCCTCGTCCCGCCACGTCCGCCTCGTCCTGCCTCTCCCGCCACGTCCCGCCTCGACCCGCCACGTCCGCCTCGTCCCGCCTCGTCCGCCTCGTCCCGCCTCTCCCGCCACGTCCCGCCTCTACCCGCCTCGTCCCGCAGGGTCCCGCCTCTCCCTCCACGTCCGCCTTGTCCCGCCTCGTCCCGCCACGTCCCGCCACGTCCCGCCACGTCCCGCCACGTCCCGCCTCGTCCCGCCTCGACCCGCCTCTCCCGCCACGTCCGCCTCGTCCCGCCACGTCCGCCTCGTCCCGCCTCGTCCCGCCTCTCCCGCCACGTCCCGCCTCTACCCGCCTCGTCCTGCAGGGTCCCGCCTCTCCCTCCACGTCCGCCTTGTCCCGCCTCGTCCCGCCACGTCCCGCCACGTCCCGCCTCGTCTCGCCTCGTCCCGCCTCGACCCGCCTCTCCCTCCACGTCCGCCTCGTCCCGCCACGTCCCGCCTCGTCCCGCCACGTCCCGCCTCGACCGCCTCTCCCGCCACGTCCCGCCACGTCCCGCCTCGTCCCGCCTCGTCCCGCCTCGTCCCGCCACGTCCCGCCTCTCCCTCCACGTCCGCCTTGTCCCGCCTCGTCCCGCCACGTCCCGCCTCGTCCCGCAGGGTCCCGCCTCTCCCTCCACGTCCGCCTCGTCCCGCCACGTCCCGCCACGTCCGCCTCGTCCCGCCACGTCCGCCTCGTCCCGCCACGTCCCGCCTCGTCCCGCCTCTCCCTCCACGTCCGCCTCGTCCCGCCTCGTCCCGCCTCTCCCGCCACGTCCGCCTCGTCCCGCCACGTCCCGCCACGTCCCGCCTCGTCCCGCCTCTCCCTCCACGTCCCGCCTCGACCCGCCTCTTCCGCCTCGTCCCGCCTCTCTCTCCACGTCCCGCCTCTCCCGGCCAGGTCCCACAGGGTCCCGCCTCTCCCGCCACGTCCACCTCGTCCCGCCTTGTCCCGCCACGTCCCGCCTCTACCCGCCTCGTCCCGCCTCTCCCGCCACGTCCCGCCTCTCCCGCCACGTCCCGCCTCTCCCGGCCAGGTCCCACAGGGTCCCGCCTCTCCCGCCACGTCCACCTCGTCCCGCCTCTACCCGCCTCGTCCCGCCTCTCCCGCCACGTCCGCCTCGTCCCGCCACGTCCCGCCTCGTCCCGCCACGTCCCGCCTCTCCCGCCACGTCCCGCCTCTCCCGGCCAGGTCCCGCAGGGTCCCGCCTCTCCCGCCACGTCCACCTCGTCCCGCCTCGTCCCGCCACGTCTGCTACCAGCGTTCGCACACATCTGCTGTCGTCCCCACCTTCCTCAGCCAACCCCACCCTCCCAGCTTCCCGCCCGGCTGCTCCCATGTCCCCACCTTGCTCTGAGTCATCAGTGGAGACGGCGGAGCCCGTGCTGTCCGTGCGTACACGTTCCAGACTCTGCATGGACAGCTGCTCCAGGCGCCGCTTCAGGAAGCGGTGTTCCCGCTGCAGCTGCTCCTTGATGCTCAGTGCCCGGCGGTCCTGCTCCTCCAGTTTCTGGGGGTGGGGGAGCTATGAGCGGTGGGAGGCAGGGGGACCATCCCCTGTACCCGGACCAGGAACTGGGGCACAGCGGCCTGGGCAGAGCAGGTTCTCATCCCCCACCGCTGGCCCCGCAAAGGCCTGAGGAGCAGCCCCCTCACCCTGCCAGGGGTTACATGAGGTGCCACCTCCCAGGCCTGCACTCTGCATCTGCTGACCAGCTCCAGAAGACCCACGGCACGTGTGGGCCCCAGGCTGGTGCTGCCTCCTAGAGAACAGCCTGCCCTTGGTGGTCTTGCCCCCACTGCCCCCATATTGCTGACATCCCCCCACCCCCTGCCTGTCTCTGAGGGCCGCACTCTGCTCTGGGAAGCTGCCTGCTCCCGGAGGCCCCAGGGCATGGACCATGCCTCTCTGTAAGCTCCAATCACCCTGCCTGGGGGTCCCCTGCCTGTGCTGGCTCGGAGGCTTTGAGGGGTCCTTCAAGGAGACTGAGACCTACTGTGGTTGGCCCAAGTGTCCTAAGACCACCCCCCCCCAAACCAGCAGGTCTGTCTTGAGGCCTTGGGGGCCCACCCCAGACAATGGCTCACTCCATCCACCCCCTCTGCCAGTCCCAGGAGACCAACTACACCCTCTACCCAGAACCTCCCAACACCCCTGGGCTGCCTGCTTCCCAACCTGCCCTTCCTGACCCCACCGCTCCTTCACAGCCCAGGGCCCCAGGGGCCATTTGTAACCCCCTTCACCTCCCCCAGCCTAGGTAGCCATGGCTACCTCCTACCCCCACCACCTCTCGATAAAACCCAGCAGGTGCTTGTGACCCCCTCCACCCTAAGCATCCCCTGTGCCCTCACCTACCACCAGAGACCCCCAGAGGTCCCCAGGCTACACCTGCTGGGTGGCTCCCCTCAGGCCCCCTGGTCACTCTCCGGGGGTGTACGGGATGGGCTGGGGTCAGCTGAGGCAGCTGGTCAGACCAGTGGACCCCCTGCTCACCTTGATGTGCATCTTGGCCCGCTTGAGGAGGCTCAGCGTGGTGTGGCGGGTACTGTCAGGGCCCAGGGGCACCAGCTGCTTGAGCTGCTCCAGATAGAGCCTGAGTTTGGCTCGTCTGAAAGAGGAGAGACAGAACCGTCAGGCCGGGGTGACATAGCCCTGGGGACAGCAGCAGCAGACAGGCCTGAGAGGTCTGGGGGCATGAGAGGCGGCCAGCCAGACTCCTGCACAGACCTGCTTGGGGTCCCTCCCCAGGATTCCCCTCCCAGCCTGGCTGCCTGCTTCCCCCGAGCAGCCCGGTCCCTGCCTTCTGGATTCCCTGATAGAGCGGACAGCCTGTGGCTGGGGCGCGGGTAGCCAGCCAGCCCAGCACGGCCTGCGGGGCACGGCCTCAGAGCCCTAGCCCGCGCTGCGGTCACCGCTCTCTACGGTGGATCCAGGAGGCCAGGGCACACCGGGGCGGCGAGGTTAGGGCCCTGCTCAGGCTGCTCCCAGAGGTCCAGGGGGCCCCAGGCAAGATTGGCATTCCACTTTGCCAAGTTCAGGGTGGTCTCTGGTCATGTCACCACAGAAATGCAAGTCTACTAGGCTCAGGGAGGGCCAAGGAGCAGCCCCTCCCACCCCGAGTTTGATGTCCCTGAGAGATCACTTCATTCCAGATTTTATCCCTGTGTCCGTGCAGACGAATGCAGATTTTCACCCAACTGCCCTCACAAGACCCAGTGACACTGTTCACATGGGGGCTTCGGGTGAGGGGCTCTGGCCCAGATCCCGCCCGTGCAGAAACACTGCCTTTCCTGGCTCATCCCTGCGGGGGAGAGGGGGCGGGGGGGAGGCCACAGCTCACTCTGAAGCACGCTCTGGCCACTGGGACGGCCAGGGGGCCTCTGCCACATGCACGTAACCCTCCCCGCCTCTGCGGGAGGCCCGGCCTCACTGCTCTGCTTAGGCCACGCTAAGAAACCCCCGGAGGACAGGGGGCAGGAGTTTTTGGTGAGGCCTTGACAGCCTGCCGCCCAGCTGCCCTGCCAGCACCATGGCCAGTGCAGGTCCCTTCCCTCGGCAAGTCCCGGCTTTCACCTCTGCCCCCGACCTGCCAGAGCCCCCGCGCATCCACAGCCCCACTCAGCCTCAGAGCCTGGCCGGACAGTGGACTGAGGGGATGCCCGAGGCCTGGGAGAAGGGGCAGCCAGGTGCAGGGCAGGAGCCTGTCAGCAGAGCAGCAAGAACGGCCCCACCCTGCAGGAGGAAGGCTGGCAGCACTTGGACCCCGTGGCCCTACGTCTGTCACCCAGGCCCACACGGCACCCTCCCACTGACAGAGCACCCCTGACCCAGCACCCCAGCCCACAGCACCCCGGGACCTAGAAGTCGTCCAGAAGAACCTCCAGGACGGAGGACCAAGGCTGCGCTCTGCCACGAGGCCACGCGGAGCCAGGACCTGCATGAGGAGCAGCCCCACGCTCTGCCTCGAGGCTGGAGGACCTTCAGAGATGAGCTCCCACCTCCACGGGACTACCGGGCTGGAGCAGGCGGCATGCCAGAAGGACCACCCAGAGTCCAGGAACCTCCGCTCCCCCACCTCCAAGGGGCTCCAGGAACCTGCCTGATGCCCCACTGAAAATGGGGCCAGAACATTGGGGGGGGGGGGGGCGGCAAACTGCGCTCTGTGCTCAAGGAGGGGCTCGCCAGCCAGAGAGCCACAGTTCCACACTGGGCCCTGCCGTCCTGCCACCTGCACCCAGGTTACTGGTGGGGTTCCCTTGTCCCTTTGAGCTCTAGCAAATGGCAATTCTTACAATCTACCGCTTACATAAGCAGTACGTGACCTTTGTGTAAAATCAGAAACTGCAAGTCAAGAGAAAGAAAAAAATAATAAATGAGAAGTACCCTGAATCCCACCACCACCATTTTAGTGTAGTCTACATTCTTGCATCATGAATGTTCGGCATACGGAACCACCTACGTGACAAGGGACCCAATATTGTTTAAAAAACTCAAACAGCAGACGCACACAAGAGACTCAACAGGACACAATGAAGAACAGGAGGCATGCGTCTCCAGGTGATGCGGTTAGCAACGTTTATTTCTTTGGCTTTACGGTTTTGTTTTTTGTTTTTGTATTTTCAGGCTTTCTATGCTAAAAAAAACACCACATATTACTTTTACAATCAGAAAGAGAATTTGTACAAGAAAGAAAAAACACAGCTAAAAGACAAATAACAGTGGAAAAATATTTGTAATACACATAAAAGACAAACGGTTAGTATTCGTGACATTTTGAGCTCATACACATCAAAAATAAAAAGAGGAGTATCTTACTGTGGAAATGGGCAAAGGACACACACAGGCAAGTTGCAGAACACAGACCGCTAAGCTAACACAAAACCCAGTCCGCCGCGCAGCCCGCGAGGAAACGAAAGCCCGGCGGGGTGGGGGAGGCCGTCACCCGGGCCCGACTGCCAAGACCGGAGGGCTCTGGGGCTGGCCAGTGTGTGGCCGGCCACGCGTCGTAGGGTCGTGGGTGGGGGGAGCAAACAGGGACCGCAGCACCCAAGGGCCGTGGCAGCGACTCGCTCCACCCCCAGGGTGACAACGTGGCGGCGGTGGTGCGGGGAGCGTTAAGCAGAGGCCACGGCCAAGAGTGCGGGCAGCATGGCCGCGAGTCTGTGTCAGCACTGGGACCCGCAGTGGCGAAGTCGCCGACACAGGACAGCACTCGTGGTGGCAGGTGAAAGGTCAAGTTATGAAACAGCGGCTAACAAGGTCCCATTCTTATCCAAGTTAGTATCCATGTGGAGGAGGAGGAGGATGCAGGTGCGGCCTCCCAGCCACCTAGGATGGCTCTCTCCCGGGGGGGGGGGGGCTGGGGGGGGCCTCGAACGTCTGTGCTGGACGTGGACAGACTGCTTTACAAATCCTAAAGCAGAGGCTCCTCGAGGGACAAAGAGAGTCCGCTGGACGATACCCAAGCAGCGCTTGGCACTGGACACTGCGGCTGCCCGAGTCCCCAGGAGCGCTCAGCCAGGCCTGCAGCCTGGGGGGGCCGGGACCCAGCTTTGCCAAGCGCCGGCTGCAGGGGCCCAGGCAAGTCCCCACCCTCGTTGGCCGCGGTGTTCCGCCCTGCGGGGAGCAGGAAGGGGTGCTGAGGCTGCCCCAGTGCCGCAGGCCCTCTGCCAGCGCCCCGTGGCTGTCCCCGGCATTCCTGGGAGCTTTGAAAATTCACCACTTCCTGAAGGAACCCTGTGTGGGTCCTTCCCAGAACCTGCCTCTGGGAATCACTGCGTTAGTGTTAATAGCAGCTCGGTTGCTGGCCACTGGCCGCAGCCCAGCTCTCAACACAGGTCCTTCCTAGCTTCTCACCACGAGCCCCCTGCTCCCCGGAGGAAGACCCAGAGCTCCCGAGCCATGTCCCAGGGTCCCAGCATCTGCACAGCTGCGCTCTGCACCACGCCAGGCCTGGCGGTCAGAGAGATGCGGTGAATGGTGGCTCCCTCGGGGAGGTGGTGCAGGCGGCGGGGGGGGGGGGGGGGGGGGGATGGGGAGCCACCTTCTGCTCACCTGCATCTTCCAGTTGTCGTGTGGTTTATAAAGACCGTGTGCCACTGTATCAGGCAGCTGGGGGCTCCCTACCTCCACACACAAAGGCTAAAGGCTGGAGCTGGGGCCAGGAGGCTCATCCTGCCCAGGAGCACCTGACCTCCGTGGCCCCCAGGCCTGGGGTTAGCAGCGGAGCCCTGGCCTTAGCAGACCCGCGGGGGCTGCTTCCCACAAGGGAGGATGGGGAGGACTGGGAGGAGGAACAGGGCCAGGCTGGGCGGGCCTCAGGCTGACCGGGCTGGCTCAGAGAACAGGCAAGGGGAAACCCCACAGGCCCAGGGTAGGCACACCTCCAGGGAAGGCGGTGTCCCCAGGGCCGGCCGGGTGACCCAGCCATGCTTCTTTCCTTCCTGTGGCCAGCAGCCAGGCATGTCCTGCATCAGCACTGGGCAGTCACAGGCACAGCCGTGATCCCAGTCCCCACCAGGGGCTCCTCATGGCTGCCCACACCTGCTCATTGGCCAGCCAGGAACAGGACCCTGCACTGGGATAGGGAGTGGACAGAGATCTCAAGCCACCCATCTATCCGCTGCAGGGGCTCAAAAGGACCCCCCGAGGCCCAGCCTAAGGGCGGGCTTTGGGAGAAGGTGACTGAGGCCAAGGCCAGGGTCAAGGGGCAGTTGTAGGGGTCAAAGGCTAACAACCTGTCTTCCTCCACAGGCTGCCATGCCCTGGGCACCTGTCTTCCCGCAGCATCATCCCCTCTGTCTGCACTGCGGGGCTGTTTTCCCAGGCACCACCCCAGGGCCTTCTCCAGAACACCCCTCACGTGCCTCTCCAGGCTCTGGGGTCCCAGTAGAGGCTGACCACCTCCTCCAGCCTGGGAGCAATCCCAGGGCCCGCCTGGCTCTTGGGGCGGGCCCCTGTACCTGCCCCTCCTCTCTGGCCTCTCGGGAGCCCCTCAAACACACAGGACCAGTCCAGGAAGTACGGTTCCTCCAGAGAACACAGCGTCCTGTCCCTGCCCAGCCCCAGCCCAGCTGAGGGCCAAATCCCAGGGGAGCGGAAGCTGGTGCTGCCGTGGGCGTAGAGCAGGGGCGGGGGGAGAACACGTAGAACTGGCTAAGCTCCAAGCCTTCCCAGAGCAGGCTGAAAGCTCAACTTGTATACAGAAGCCCCCCTCCACATTGACCCAAGAAGGGAGGAAAGAATGGGCCCATTTCACAGATGGGAGTAAAGCTCAGGAAAAGCTACCATGTGGCATCCCTTCGTCCTGGCACCACGGCTCCCGCCTTCAGAGCCTCTGTACCCACCCCCAGCTCCCACCACCCCACTGAAATCCGCCATGAGGGTCCCTGTCTGCAGGGCCGAGCCTGCCTGTGTCTTGTTCCTATTTCAGAGGAGGCCCAGGGTCATGGAACCCCTGAGGGCAGAGCCAGGCCTGCAGCACCCAAGCTGGGGTCAGCCGGAGAGGGGCCCTGGGGCCTACCTTGGGCCACAGTGCTGCCCTTCCCCGCTTCTCCCCATAAGCCCTCCCACTCCTCAGAGGACCCAGCGTAGACCCAGCCCTGCAGCCAGTAGGTGGGCATGAAGTGGGTTCCCCTGGATCCTTCCCTGGGCTAGAGCTTCCCCTCAAGGTCACACGGGCAGAGACAGGCTGCCCTTCCCATTGCCCCCACACGAGACCAGTGGGAGCTCCTTGGAAGGCAGGCCCCGGGTGCAGGGGACCCCAGACTAAGAGGGCCAAGCCCTCCTGATTGGAGGTCAGCATCCTAAAGGCTCAAGAGCTGCTCCCAAAGGGGCTCAGATGCCCCAAGTTAGACGGATCTCCTCCTCCAGAGAGCGGGCCCTGAGGGTCACCCAGCATAGGGGGTCCTGCTCCAAGTCCCTCACCCCCACCCTGAACTTCCAGGAGCAGCACCTGGGCCCCTGCCTCCACCTCCCGGCATGCAGTGCCTGACAGCAGAGTCTGATTCTGCCTTTAAGACAGACCCTTCCCTAGCAAGGGCCCAGCCTGGGGGCACGGTCAGCTGTGCCCAGACACATCAGGTGGGACCCGGGGGGGTGCAGCCATAGCATCCCCCCAGCAGAAAGGTGGGTGGGATGTGTTAGGCGGCTCATACGGGCGACCGGGAGTGGGGGACAGGGGATCACTTACCTGTGCTTTTCTAGTTCATTGTGTGAAGACCTGTTTAGAGAGACAGAAAGACAGAGCTCACTCTGCTGCCTGATCACCAAAGCCCAAGAACGACAACTCTAGTCGGGGGCCTAGGAACCTGTCGATGGTGGCAGACAGGGTCTGGGCCCCAGGATGGCCCAGCGCAGGGAGGGCCGGGGCAGGTGAGCAGCTGCCGAGCCAAGGTGGGGGTGGGGGGGACCTCGCACTGAGTGACAAGGACAGGAGACACAGAGCTGCAGCTCTGTCCAGGGGTGCCTAGGGCCACCCGGCTTACTTCGTGAGGCATGTGGGGGCTCTGGCCAGCAGGAGGGTCCAAAGCCCCTTCCAGAAGGTACTAGGACTGACCCACCCTGTGCTCCCAAGACTTCCCAGGCACTAAGCCACCAGCCTTCTCCACTCCCCACCCCTGGAGGCCACGGGCGCTAGCAAAAGGGCCAACGGCAGGGGAACACGGACACAGGGTGGTCCGGCCCTGACCCAGCCAGAGCACCATTCTCACCCTGCTGGGCTCTCCCACCTGCATCCTCACAGCTCATCGGACCAGTGGGGACACCCAGGGACAGAGCAGACCCAGCCCGAGAGGGATCAGCGCATAAGGACACCTCTAATATGTGCATGCTTCCTGGGCCAGTGGGCAGGAGGGAGACTGAGGCTGGCCCTTTCGCTTCCCTCTGGGGCCATGGTCTTGACCTCTCTGGGCACAGGGACCCCATCTGTTGCTCAAGCCCTGCCCACCTGGCCCATCCAGACAGGGGTACAGAGTCCTGAGCACCCTGGTGGACAGGGCCACAGCACCTGCCCTGCAGGGCCAATCTCCCAGTTCCCCATCATTTTCCCAGTTCAGGTGGGGACCCCATGGACAGCCAGGGCTCCTAGGCCTGCCAGGCTGCCTCGCATGTGAGCAGAGGGCCCCCAAGCCACCTCAGGGGACACCCAGATTGACCGCTGTGTCCCCCACCTCTCACTCTTTCCTGGAGCTTCTACTGACCTCTGCTTGCCTGCTCTCACTCCCCTGCTGTAGGAACTGTGGACTGGGTGTCTCCCGTCCCCATCCCACAAGTCAGAGTGCCTGCCCATCCTTCCTGCTTCTGCCGCCTAGCACGATTCATGGCCCCATCAAAGCCAATTGGGACCCAAGGCCTCCCCTCTGCTCGCCAGGGCAGTCAGCCCCTGGGCCTCCCTGTGCAGCTTTAGGAGAGCCCCGAGGGCCTGCCGATCACATGAGCTGGGCAGGGAGCCTCAGAACCTCTGCCGGGGCTGGCCAGGACCAGGAGTGGGCATAGCTGTCAGGCTCCTCAAGGCCTGAACCACAGTCCATCTGTGTGGGTCTGGAGGTCTGCTCGTGTGTGAAGGATGTAAGGGCCAGTGAGTGCCCTTCGATGCACAGAGATGTGCCTGGCCAACCCCTCACAGTCTGGGCTAGACCCCATCCTGGAGGAAGAGGGTCACTCCTTGGCTAACTGGGGATGGAGAGAGGCCCAGAGCCCCTCCTAGGGCTCCTCCCAGGTTTGTAACATGGGTCCCAGGAACACCCTGTCTCAGGCCTAGGGAGAGGGGGGACCCCAGGCTGGGGCTCCGCTAAGTATATTCCTGCCCTCACTTGGTTCACAGCCCACAGCAACCCCTCCGGGTAGGTACTCTTCAGCCATGTTCTTGGAGGACCTGAGCCCCAGCAGGCTGGCTCCAGTTCCCTCTTGATGAACCATTGTCCCCCAAAGCCCTTCCTGTAGCTTGTGGGGCTTCCCCCCTATACATCACCCTCCTGCCCCACTCCTCACTCTGGTCCCAGCGGTGCCCATCCTTTCCCCTCACTGTGGCGAGAGGAAGAAGCCCTGCCAGGCAAGTCAGGGCCCCGGATCCTCTAGGCCCTGCTCTGGGCTGGCCAGGCCCAGCTGGACCAGGACAGCCTCGAGCGGCCATCTCTGTGAGCCCCAGGGGGCCTCATCCCTGGGAGATGCCAGCTCTGCCCAGAGGAGCAGCAGGGAGGTGTGCTGCAGCCCAGGAGACCCTCTCGGCCCTCCCCAGGGCCCTGAGGGTCTCTGCCTGGCAGAATGGAGAAGGCCAAGACCCCACTTCAGAACAGGGTCCCAGGGATGGGAGGGTGGCTCCAGGCAAGTAATTCAATTTCTCTGTGCCTGTTTCCTCAGCCTTCACATGCAGATAAAAATAACACGTCCATCCTGGGTTGGGCAGATAGTAGGAGGTACTGACCCACTCAGCACACCAAAGCCCCCAGAGTCCTAGCTAGGATTCTGGTTATCAACTTTGGGTACCCCGTGGGAGTCCAAGGTCATGCCCCAGAGTTCTCCATGGGCGCCGGGGCATTGGGGGCAGTGAGAGCCAACAGTGGGGGCCCGAGGCCAGGGTGCCCCCCTCACATATCTTTTCCCAAACTGTCCTCAGCAGGGGACCAGGGGCTGGGACTGGGAGGCACGTCCAGCCAGGGCAGATGGAGACTCAACCAGCTCCTTGCCAGGCCCAGGGCGCCAGGACGTCACAGGAGATGGGTCCCTGTGCCAGCCTTTCTGTTTCCCAAGAACAGGCAGGCCACAGGAATGAGCCGCACCCTCTGCCAAGGGGCCCTGAAGCCCCCTGCAAGCCCAGCTCCCCGCCCGGTGACATGGTCCCGAGCCAAAGCCCGCCGGGCAGTGCCAGGTGTGGGGTGGTCCTCATGGCAGCGGGGAGAGTGGAACCCCGCGGGAGCCCTAGCTCGGGGTCCCCCCAGAGATGTGCACCCCAGCTTTCTGCTTCTACAGTTTGGGAACAAGGCCAGAGGAAGGGGGGTGGGGGAGGGCTGCTGCACAGCGGCCTGCACCTCTTCCGGCTCCCCTTAAAAAGGGCCTCCTGTCCCAAAGAAGGGGACCCTACACTTGTCGCTGCGTTTCACTTATGTCAGGAGACCGGGCAGGAGGGTGGATTCCGTGGGAGGGCTGGGGGCCCAAGGTAGGGCCTCCATGCGCCTTCTTTGTCCAGGCCCCCCGGGGGTGGGGGTACTCAGCCCAACAGCAGGAGAGATGCGGCCCACCCACCCGCGGCAAGCAGAGGTCAGGGAGGGCGGTCCCACGCTGCTGTGCACCGAGCCTCAGTTTCCCCGGACTCACGGGGCACCGGCCAGCGCCCACAGACAACTTTTTTCCTGCCCGGAAAAGTCCAGAACAACTTGGGAGCGGGGAGCGGCTGCGGGAGGAGACCCCGAGCGGCTGGCGCTGTACGCGTGGCACTGTTTACGCGAGAGGCCGAGGAGGCGCGGCCCGCGGGAAGATGGCGACGGCGCGGGCGGGGCCGGCCGGGCGGGGCTGCGGCCGCGGCCCGGGCGCGCCTCCTCCTCCAGGCTGGCCGCCGGGGCGCGCGGCCTGCGGCCGAGCTGAGGCCCGGGGGTCGGGGCTGGGGGAGGGAGCTCCGGGGGGCGACCCCGGGCGCCGGGCCGGGCGGGGGGTGGGGGCGGCCGCGCGGGGGGGCGGTACCTGTTGTTCGGGGCCTTGCGCACCAGGCCGGCCGCCTTTGTCTTCTTCCTGGCGAAGTCGCCGTCGAAGGGCAGCACCGAGGCGTAGCCGTGCTCGGCCTCTGCGGACAGACGGCGCGGTCAGCGGGCCCCCGCCCCGGCCCCGGCCCCGCCGCCGCCCGCCAGCCCGCGGCCCGGCGCACAAAGGGGCGCGGGCGCTACCTCGGTCCCTGCGCTCCAGGTACTCGGCCGCCTCCAGCAGGATCAGCAGGGAATTCAGCTCCATCCTCCTGCCCGCCCGCGCCGGCCCGCGCTCTCCGGGACGGCGGCGGCCGCTGCCCGGCCCTCTCCGGCCGGCTCCGCTCGCCGCCCGCCCCGCGCGCCCGGCGGCCCCACTTCCCAGACTCCAGCGGACTCTGCGCGCTCGGCCGCCACCCTCCGCCTCGGGCCCTCAAATTGACACATAAGGGCGAGCGGCGGCCGGCGCAGCCAATGGGGACCGGCGCTCCGGCTCCGGGGGCGGGCGCCGGGCCGGGCCGGGGCCAATGGGAGCTGGCCGAACGCCTCGGGCCGGGCCGAGAATGTTGACAGATGCGAAGCTCGGTTCCGATAGGCCCGCCGCGGTAGTAACAATTTAGAAGCCCAAGCTTAGCAACAGCACGTGGTGGCCCGGCCCCCGCGCTCGCTGACTGGCGGCTGGCGTGCATGTTAAGTAGGCGCCACGCGCCGATTGGCCCAGAGCGGTCTATGTAAAATAGGGACCGCGGACCAATGGCCGGCTGCGGGGCGCGCGGCCAATGAGGACGCCTTGGCCAGACGCGTTGCCGAGAGGAAGCGGAGCGCGGTGGGACCGCACGCCGCCGGCCCGCGCCCCAGGGCCCCTTAGGGTGCGGGGAGCGTCGGGTGCGCCTGGCCGGTCCGCGGGGTCTGCACGTCGTGTGCCAGAACCTGTTGCCCCGGGACAGCCGCCGCAGCTCTGGCTCCGCGGGAGCACGGCACCTCGTGTTCTCCTCGGGGGTGTCGCGTGGGCTGCAAAACGACACCCCTTCCCGCCGGACACAGAGTGACCCCAGCGAAGGCCGGAGCTTGGAGGAGGGGCGTAGAAGGTCAACGCCCAAGAGCCAGATCTTCTTGAGCCACATCTCAATGGGGAGAGACCCAAAGGGGGGGGGGCCCTCAGAGCTCCCCGGGGACCCCAGGCCTGGAGGAAGGGGCCCCCAAGAGTGGAGGGTTGCCTGCTCGTGTCTGGTCTAAAGAGTGGGGACATTCCAAGGCATTCCGGGCGCTGGTCCCCTCTGGCCAAGGAAGCTCTCTCTAGGGAAGAGAGTTGCCCTCTGTGGGAGAGGAGTGAGCCCCTCATCAAGCTCCTGGCTGTTGGGTGGTCCCTAGTGGCTCCTGACCCTTAGCTGGCTCTGCAGGAGGAGGGTCTGGCAGCCTGGAGGCAGCCCCACACTGGCCTCGGGTCCCTTTGGGTCCCTTCGGTCTTCCTTCTCACTGGTTGTTGAGACTGGTGGCCTGGGAGCCCCTGAGGAGGGGACCAGCAGGTTGGAGAGTGTGGGGATAAGGTGGATGGGCTCTGACCCACCCTGCCCAGAGGTCTAAATGGGGCATGCTGCCACCAACAGAACAACAAAAACTAAAAATCTCAGCGCTTCCTGTCCTGGGATCTACTGCATGTTTCATACACATTCCCTTGTGTATTTCTGAATCCCCATTTACAGATGAGGAAACCAGGAATCCTGAGGTTTAGGGACTGGCCAGGGTCTCCTTGCAATCCCAGGGGCATGTAGATTAGTGCTCGCCTAAACGTGCCCCAGGGCTGGTGACCCAGGAGCATGGAGACCAAGACACCTCCTGGCCTAACACTACTTGCCTGGGAACCACAGCTGTGTGACCTGAGAAATGGGGTTAGGGATGTGTTGTCTACCCCCCAACCCTCCCAGCAGAGCTCAGCAGGACCCAGTGGGGTACTCGGATACTGCCATTAGACAGCCCTGCATGGACATTAAGACGACCCCTTGATGGTAATCCCAGCCCCACAATCTACCCAGGACCAGGGCACTGAGCCCCTAAGAGCTGCACAGAGTAAAGGAGGGTGCCCCATTCTGGGGAGGGGCAGATGCATGCAGAGTTCAGGGGTGTAGGAGGCAGGACCCCAGGCTCACCACCTGGTGGTCAGCATTTTGCAGAGTCCCTTCATCCCTGCTTATGTGAAGGATAGGTTGCTGTTCCAGTCCTAAAGCCGGCACCTTGTCCAGGGTGAGTGCACCTGCTGGACGCCCACCCTACTAACTGCCGTGGGGCATGAGGGGTGCTGTGTGTCACAGCCTGCAGAGCGAGTACCCAGGTGTGACCATGGGAACCACGTGTGTACTGCACCCCAGCCTGAGAGGAGAAGGGGTGGCCCCACCTTGCCTCCATCTGCAGCTAGGCTGTTTCGGGGACCCCTCTCCCAGCAACACCCGGGACCAAGCACTTCCAGGGGCGCCACACCGCCTGTGAGTGTTGTGGTATCGGAGCGCAAGCAGCGTGTGGGAGTGAGTGCAGAAGTGGGCCGCGAACTAGCAGCTGGACAGGAGGGCCAGGGCATGGCGTGGGCTGAGGCATCAGGACCCCAGGCCTAGGTGTCAACCAGGGAGGAGCCTTGTGGGCCAGAGAGAGCCTCCAGGGAAGACACTAAGCTGCAAGGTGGGGGCCTGCTGGGGGGGGGGGGGGACGAACAGGGGTGGGGTGGTGCTGGTCTCACTTGGGGCCAGCCAAAGCTCCGCACCCATGAGCGTCAATGTGCCCTCCCAGGTATGTTTCGCGGGGGGGGGGATGTATAGGAGCAGCTGCCTGGCCCAGGGTCCAAAGCTGCAGGCTCTGTGCCACCCCAGGCCCAGTTCTGTAGGGCAGGTCTCCAACAAAGCTGTATCACCTCTTCCAGGGAGGCTTCCCTGAGCCCAGGCTAGGCCGGCTGCCTCCTCACCTACTCCTCTCCTATGTCTGCCCAGCCCTTCCTGCCCCTTCTCCAGTGCAGGGCCCTGTCCCAGCGGGAACCAGCCCAAGTCCATGCCCCTGAGGAAGGACGCAGCCCTCTCAGGCCCCCTCTCTCTATCTCCATTTAGAGCCCAAGAGGGGACATAGACCTCTCCTGCCCCCCTCCCAAGCACCCAGGCCCCAAGGTCCCTCCACCGTGCATCCCTCCTGCACCAGCCCACATTTCCCTCACTGTCCCATCCCCCAGATTGTTTTCCCTGCTTGTCCTTTAGGGGAGCCCAGCCCACCCCAGAGCTCCCAGACAGAGGCTCTAGGAGAAGGAGTGGGGCCTGAATCCAAAAGGGACTTCCCTATTTGACTGGAAGGCCCCCTCTGCCCAGCTTTCTTGGTTTCCTCCCCCACCTGCGCCCTAGCCTCAGCTTCCCTGGCTATAAAAGGAGAATGGTAGTACCCACCTCTTGCAGTGTTTGGAGGATGGCATGAGGATTCCTGGCCCAGGAGCTCAGTAAAGGCAGCCTTCCTCCCTACCCCCAGGGTCCCGGGAGGGCATTTAAGGCCCTAAGGAGATCTGAGGGAAAGAAACCTCTAGAAAGCTGCTTCCTAGCTTCCCCCACACCTGCTGAGCCCTGGCTCCCTTTCTCTGGCCCAGGGCTCCACCCCAACGTCACAGCCTTCGGAATATGCCTGCGGCTCCCGGCTTGGCCCCAGGAAGCACCCCCACCCAGGATGGGAAGGTCTTCAAGGCCCTTCTTTCTCCAAAGCCCCTTCCTCCTGCTTCCAGGATGACCCAGCCCTGGCTTCATCTTCTCCCATCCTCCCCATTGCCTCCCCCATCACTGGGGTGGACTCCCTGCTCCCACCTGGGTCCACAGCAACAGCATTCTGGGAAGGAGGCTGAGAGTGAGGGGCTGCCCCGCCTGCCTGGACAGCCCACAGCCTGCCTTCCCCGGGGACCGTGGAGGGGCGGGGGGGGGGGGGGCGGCAGGCCACATTTGGTTAGCTCCCTGCAGGCAGGTTCTGGGACTGTGGTGTGGGGGGGACAGAGAACCTGCCCTGGGGTCATCAGAGGGCCAGGCCTGCGCCAGCATGACAGCCAGCCCCCTAGAAGCTGTGGCTCCCCTGCCCTGAGATGTCTGGTGTGCACCAGCACCAGAGGGGAGTCCCAGGGGACTTTTTTCCCTGGGTCCCTCTCCCAAAGTGTCCCTGGATTCTAGTCTGGCCACAAGACCTTGGCCAACTCGCTTTAACCTCTCTCCACCTGTTTCCTAGCTATAAAACGGTTGACAGTACCTACTTTTCGGGGTGGCTTTGGGGTGGAAAGAAGGATCCATGGAAGGTCCCAGGCAGCAGTGGGCAGGGCACAAAGGGATGCCCAGAAAGTGGCGGGAATATGAACATCAGCTCCAATCAGCAGTGCCTCTAACTGGTGGTCCTACACACAGAGAAATGGGGCCGGGCCTGGCCAGTCGCCATCGGCCAGGATCCTCGTGGAACCTGGCTGGGCTGGAGCGGCAGCTGCCCAAGCCCGCCAGCCCCGGGCCAGGCCTCTGAGCATTTGGGGGCCTTCTACAAAGCCGAGCACTCGGGAAAAAATGGTCTCCACAATACAGTGAGGGGGCAGCAATGATATCAAGATGCATGAAGACATAATGTGTGCAGAGCTAACATAATGTCAATGTTATTTTTAAATTTAAAAAGAATAGTTTATTGTATTTGTGAACAATTTTTGGAGTAGATTTCTCACTTTACAAGTTATTTCCCCCGCTATATTTGATGACCCTGGACAACTTAGACAATTATAAATTAAATGAATTTTTTTTTGTAACCGAGATATCCAAAAACAAACAATAAAATTTTCTTTTAAAAAATGTTTATAGGGAAAAAAAAAGGTATGAAGGTGGGATGTGGTATAGACTCGGCCACTGGCTGTGGTATTGAGCCAGAGGGCCAGAAACTGACGGCTCAGGGCCAGCGACCTCGTCCAGTTCCGGGCCCAGGTGGGGTGTGACAGGGAGCCCGGGTTAGCCCTGCTGCTGCCCCCCAGGCCCCTAATGGCTGTGGGCCCTCTCATCTGAGGGAGGATGAGCCTGGAATAGATGGGCAGGTCTCCCTCCCACAAACAATAGGGGCCTCCAGGCTCACACCAAAAACCCCTCTCCTAGTACCGCCTTCTAGGATGCTCTGCCCTAGGCCTTTCTGGCCTGTTCCACCACCCCTTCTAGGAAGCCTTCTTGGCCTTCCAGGCTGTACCTGGCTGCCACATGTGGTCTTAGGCTAGAGACCTTCCAGTCTTAGGCTGAAGGCCCTGAGGGCCCGAGCCTAGGAAACCCACCCCCAGCTCCCCACCCCTGGGCTCCTGGTCATCCAGCAGCTTCTTGACCCAGAGGGTTGGGCTCTGGTGAGTGTGGCCCAGGCTGCCTCCAGCCGAGGGCACAGAGGCCTCTCAGACCTCCACCCACACA